TGGTGTATTAGCTTCTGATCACACATCGCTACATCCAGTAAGTAATGAAGCTGCTGAGACCAAACTTCTGTTTGAATGGCTGTCATAATTACTAGTTACATCTGTGCATGGCTGTATAGTTCTTACACCTCAGACCTTTCTGCAAGTGTGGCCACACTCAGGCTACCATTCAAGGAGGATTAATCCCTGTGAGTGTGGCCACACTCAGGGTGCCATTTAAGGAAGAGGACTATCTGGGAAGGTCAGCAATGGGCTTTATGTTTAATGGCCTTTGCCCAGAAGGAATTCAACAGGCAGACCCCTCCACAATCCCCATGTTTTAAAAACTCCAGTGATAAATAATAAACCAATCCACCCTGAATAAAAAGTGAAATGTTGAGTGTGATCATTAATACTGACAACTTGACAGAATCTAGATTCCTGAAGAGACAGGAATCGGTGAGGTCTTATCTCTGAGGGGTTATCTAGATTAGATTGAGATGAGAAGATCCGCTTTAAATATGGGTGGCAACATTCCATGGGCTGAAGTCCCACTTCTGTACTGAATGAAAAAGAGAAAGAGTCAGAGCACAAGCCTTCGTCTGTCCTTGCATCCTGACTGCAAAGGCACTATGAGCAGCTGCCTCACCCTCTTACTGCTGAGCCTTCTCTACCATGGTAGTCTGTGTCCCTTGGACCTTTAAGCCATGGTAAATCCTTCCTTCAGTGGATTTTGTAAGGCATTGTGTTGTGGCGGTGCTGTGTAGCGGTTTCCTCTGAGATAGAAGCATTGCATCCTGCAGGGAAGCTCCTTAACACAGAAAGTAAGCAACTCAAAATAACTCTGGGACATCTCTGAAACTGTTCAGGTTTGCTAGGAGCCTCCCTCTGAAGAGTAAACAACAAAGATTACTGAGAGTCATTGTCCTGCAAGTTAAGCCATAAAGAAGGAGCAGACACCAGGCTAGCCTCCAGGAAGAGGTATTGATAGTCGAGTGACCTGGTAGGGATACTGTCCAACCTGATGACAACTTGTAGGCTTTTCAATGTGCTCCAGGTTTCCAACTTTGGTGAGCTGTCACTAGTGCTGGAGTGGGCTTTGTTGATACAACTGACTTTGAGCCATTTCTGCTCTTGTAAGTAATCCATCATCCATTAATTGTCTTAGTCAGGGTTGCTATTGCTGTGAAGAGATACTATGATGATGGCAACTTGTATAAAGGAAAACATTTAATTGGGGCTAGGCTACAATTTAGAGGTTTAGTCCATTATCATCATGGAGGGTGCCATGCAGCCAGACATGGTGCTGGAGAAGGAGCTGAGAATTCTACATCTTTGATCCACAGGCAGCAGAAGCAACTGTGTGACACATTGAACATAGGAGATATCAAAGTCCTCCCTCACTGAGAAAGACTTCCTCCAACAAGGCCACACCTACCCCAACAAAGTCACACCTCTTAACAACACCACTCCCTTTGGGGGCCATTTTCTTTCAAATCACCACACCTATATTCCCGTAAATAACACCAATAAAACTTGCTAGTTCACCAAGTTGAACTTTGGTGGCATCAATATTTTGGTCTGTTATGGACTCCCTATCTGGGATGAGTAAATCAGTGAGTTGCATCTCCCCAGCAAAAGTCATTCAACAGGGAAAATAACCAGTAACTGAAAGAAACTGAAGATAATCAGTACTGTTGCTATTGATCAAGTTCAAAGGGCGTTGGCAATGGCTTCTTAGTTTAAATGGAAGAATTTAGAATTCTGGACTAAAAAAGCCCTTGAATACTGTGAGGTGAGCTTAATGGATATTCCGGTGAAAGGTTAGAAGACTAGAATGACAAGAGAACCACAGATAGTAAAAGCCCATCTCAGGATGTTTCAGAGGAAACAGATTCTATCAGGAACTGACCTAAGAGCCATTTGTGTAATATTCTGGCAAAATGCCTGGCTGCCTACTGCCTTTGCCTGGAGCACTTGATTGGAGAAGAATTTAAAGGCAAGAGACAAGTTGTTTGATGATGCCAAAGTTATTGCCCAACATTTTCAGATAAGAGGACAGCAAGAGAGCAAAAATGGAGAAAAAAAGATAAGAAAAATGTGAAGGTTGGAGTGGAAAGTTCTCTGAACGAGTTTAAAAGGGAGTGCAGACGACAAAGCATGTGGAGCATTGAAGAGGCCAGCCATTTCTGTAGCATTGAAGAGGCCAGCCATTTCTGTAGCATTGAAGAGGTCAGCCATTTCTGTAGCATTGAAGAGGTCAGCCATTTCTAAAGAGGAATCCTGGGCTCCACACTGGAGCAATAGGAAAGGTTCTGTGAGGGCCAGACCTTATCCAAGAAAGGTCCATATTGTAAAGGAGGAAACCTAAACTGAAACTATGGTTTGAAAGAGTCCCCTACTCACAAGTAGCCACCTAAGGAAGTGTTGCTCAGTGTTGGTTCACAGAAGCCCTCTGGCCTTAAGGAGCCAGGCTCCAACAAGAGCTGGTAATAGCACTTAGCAATATCATCCACATTGTAGGATTCTTTCATGTAGGCATGAAAGATGTAGGGTTGAGACTGAATCCAGGACTGAGTAGAAAGGAGAAAGCAAGCTAAGTAGAAGCATTTATCTTTGCTTCCTATCTGTGGATGCAACGTTATGAGACCCATCCTGCTCTTGCTGCTCTGCCTTCTCTGACATGGTGGAATGTATATGCAGACATTGTTAGGTAATACCGTTCTTTCCTTAAGAAGCTTTTGTAAGTCATGTTGCCATGGTAGCAGATAACTAATATACAGTGTCACAATGAAAAGAAATGCCAATACGTAAAATACCATCCCAGAGGTAGAGGAAATGAATTATATGTCTACTACGAAAGTAATCCAAATATTGTCTCAGAGTCCAGGAGCTTGACACAAAGAATCCTTTAAATAAGCTTTATGACAGACTAAAGGTTTCCTGAAAATAGAAACCCAGGGGGAGTTTTCTTTGTTAAATAATAACAATTATTATTATTTTGTTACATTATTGTTATGTTACTAGGTAGGTGTTTGTCTACAACCAAAACTTGCCTGAACTCATGGAAATCCTCCCTAGTCAGAATCCCTGGTGTTGGGATTAGAGGCTTGAGTAACTTCTTGTCTGGGCAAGAAGGAAATGGAACAGTTTTAAAGATGCTATGCATAAAGGAATTAGTGCCAGATAAACAATGTTGTCAGTAAAAATGTTTATAACTGAAAGAATATGCAATGTCCATATGTTTTGTTTAAAGAAAAAGACAACAAAAGCAAAATAGTTCTGCTTTTTGTTTAAAGAATATGGTCTGAACCCTGTGACTTGTACAGTTGTTATAGTCCTGGCTCAAATGTTAGGGGAGTAACCAGCCATCTTTTGATTGATTTTAATGACCACTTCCTGAGATGGAAGCCATACCTGACACTCCTAAATTGGCTTAGAACCTACACCATAGGCTTAGGGGAAAACTCACTACTCTTATTCTGCTAAAGGGCTTAGCAATACAATGACTACCAATGATATATTGCTATTCTTAGAGATCAGCTCCTTACTCAATCCTCAGAGCAGCTTCTGCTTGCAGTAGATGGTAGTAACTGAAAAGCACAGAGAGTGATTCTGCAAGCATTCAGCCCTAAATGGGCTGCCATTATCAAATCTGTCTCCTCGGGCTCTCTGGGGATCTATGTGGAAGAGATGGCACCAACATTGTTACGAGCCAGGAGCAGTAGATGACTGATTCCAAGGCAGCAGTGCGTTCCTGACACAACAGGAGGGATGCACAAATAAACTAAAGAGACTGGGTAGTACACACAATGTCTGTACATGTCCACACCTGACAAAATCGCAGCACTGTAAAAGGGAAGACGATGCAAAGTGTCCCATCCCCAATCAAGAAACTACATGCAGTTGCTAGCTGGTGGCAGAGGGAAAATCAATTTGCTCCAATGCAGTGTCACTGGGTTTATCCACATCCACCACACTCCAACACAGGATGTGTTCCCAGGAGCACTTGGCCAGCACAAAACAAACTCTATGCCTCTTGCCCTGCCCTGGTGCTTTTTGATGTGTGTGTGTGTGTGTGTGTTTGGATGTTTTGTTTGTTCACACACAGACACACAGACAGACAGACAGACAGACAGACAGAGAGAGAGAGAGAGAGAGAGAGAGAGAGAGAGAGAGAATGACAGAATAAAGCTGGGTGCAGAGGGAGGTGAGGAGGGGAGAAAGGGGAGAAGATGAGGCAGGGGAAAACATGATCAAGACTATCAAACATACTTTATATAAAAAGCTTGTCAACAATAAATTTAAAAGAAGCTGGGAGTGCTGGCCCATGCCTTTAATCCCAGAACTCAGGAGGCAGAGGCAGGTGGATCTTTTTGAGGCCACCTGTTCTACAAAGTGAGCTCCAGGGCATCTAGGACCTAGGACTGTTAACAGAGAAATACTTGGAAAGGCAAAAGCAAAAAAAAAAAAAAAAAAAAAAAAAGCTATCTCTAAATGATTTTGGTATTAGCTTTCTCTAAAGCTCAGGAGTCAGTCGCAGAGTGACAAAAATTGTTTTATTTAGGCATATGTGAGACCAATGGGACTGTGCCAATTTACATAAAACTAGAGAAAGGACTTCTGGAACTTTTTTCTCCGCTGTTTAAAAAATAAAGTTGTAGTTAGGCAAAGTTACCACGTGTCTGGAATTACGAGAGAATACAGTCCCAATAACTTTAGCCAATTTGGCATCTTAACCTCTCCCCATTTTTCCCCCTTTGTCAGCGAATTAGCACTCCATTTGCAGGCACAACCACCCATATCTAGGTTGCAGGAAAGGATAATTTGAATAACAGTCCTCTACAGATCCGGGCAGAGTGCCCTTAGTTCCTGCTCACTCTCCCAAAGCCAAACCGAAAAACCGCCCAGCTGCTGCAAATGAAAGCCTGGGAGCCTAGCGTCTTTGTCCCACAGTAGGGTGGAACCGACCCACTGGGAGGTGCCAAGTGACACTGGTGGCTCAGGGCAGCAGTCAGGCGGCTGCAGCTGGAGGCCAGTGCCTCATTCTGCCCGCGCCCCGCCTCATCCGGACATTCCCGCCCGCGGCAGGTGAGCCGGTGGCAGAACCGGCAGGACCTGCTCCACTGGCCGAGCCCGAGAGCGGGAGCTCCGCTGTGGCCGGCGGCGCCATGGAGGTGGACGCGGACCCCGGGGAGCTGGCGCGGCTGCGCTCGGTCTTTGCCGCCTACGACACGAAAGGCTCGGGGCGCCTGGAGCGTGCGGAGTTCGGCGCGCTGTGTGCGGAGCTGCACGTGCCCGAGGCCGAGGCGGAGGCGGTGTTCCTGGGGCTCGACACCGACTGCGATGGGGCCATCACCTTCCCGGAGTTCGCGCACGGCTTCCGCGGAGCCTTCGGCCGGGGCGGGGCGGAGACCCTGGGCGCCTGGGACGAGGCAGACTCGGAAAGCACGGGCCCGGCGTGGCGGGACTTCCATGCGCGCCTCGGAGACGAGGCTCAACTCATTCCCAGGTGCGTGGTCCGGCGAGCGCGGCAACCGTGCGCTGTGCAGCCGGGATACCCAGTCTGGGAGCGGCTTTTTTTTTTTTTTCCGCCCGACACCAGCCGGTGACTTTTCCTGAAAGGAAAAGCGATCTGGAGTTCCTGGTAGGGAAGACTTGGCCAAGTGAGGTTTGAGCACTTCCTGCAGGAACTGGGGTGACTGACACCTGTAGCCTCCCTCTGGAGCGGCCAGGGCTGGCACACTCCTGGTGGCTCACTGGGGCCTGTCGGGTCACCTACTGCTGCTTCTGTGCAGCATTAATTAAGAGGCTAGTCGAGGCAGTTTGCCAGGTGGGCATCCTGTATCATAGCTGTGCGTTTGATGTTTGTTGAGGCCGCAAACCAAGCTGCAGTATTACTGAATACACTCATTGATGTGCACTACATCTTTCGTTTTATTTAAGGATACCTTGGGAAGTAGGTTTGTCTGCTACTGACTGATCCTAGAAATTTAAATTCAGGAGCCCCAAGGGTCTGTCTCATTTAATTAAAAACAGAACATTGATCCCAGGTCTTCTATGTTGAAAAATTGTTTTTATTCAGTGAATAAAATGACACAGTCACAACATATATCCCCCGACTTTACAGATAGGAAAAGAATAACTTATTGTCAAGCTATTAACTTCATTCTTAATTGGAGGGGATTACGAAGGCTATTTCAGTCCTTTTACTCTCGCTGCATTTCCGCTTTTCTCTGGAACTTTTTCTGCGCTGTGGTTGTAATTTGGCTCCAGTTTTGTTGAGCACTGGCTGTTTTCATTAAGACCTGAAAGGCTTCATTTGAAGTGGCATTTTCTATATCTAAGACTTGGTTCTCAGAGAAGGGAAACGGTCCTGGGAGGTGTCAGGCTCCCTCAGATTGCTTCACAGCACATGCCTCGTCATCCTGCTTTCCACCTGCTGTTGGATAAGGGAATTCCGTGAGGGAGGTTGAGTGACTCACTGTGACACTGTTGAGAAACAGGGTGTGAGGGCTAATCCCTCCCATACACGTGGGGGAAAAACAAACCACACAGTTTCTCATCCAGGGAAGTAGAAAAATTTAAACACTGTTGCTGTAGGTGCTACGCCTTTTCTTGGAGCGAAATTTTAAACACTGTTGCTGTAGGCTAAGCTGTCTTTCCAGCACATCAAGTTATTATTTTTTAAATAAGATGTAAGAAAGAAGTAGGGAGAGATGCTGTGTGAGTTTGCTCCTTCTTTCTCTTTCCTGACTACATTTCAGCAGCAGACGTTTGATACTTAGCCCCTCAATCATTATATTGACTTTTCTAGACTCAGAGGACAAACCAGGACTTAACATAAGTAGTGGATGATTATCACCATATCTCTCCAAAGGCTGTCAAGGGTTATTGAAGGTATCGGTGTCACCTGATAGACTTCCGTCTTAACCTTCTTATGGGGAAGGTTAACAAGTACAATGTTTGCCTTTCTGTTTTGTTCAAGTGAAAAAGAACCAAACTTAGTTGACCCGCCTGATTGTTGCCATGGCAGCAATACACTGTTTTGGTAAGTTAGAGAGCTGGCACTCTGCTTCCTCAGACATCTGTTCACTTTTTCTTCCATCTAGACATGATTAAAAAAACACAACAAAGCAGAAGCCGCACAGCTTTTTGTTATTGACATTCTGCTGCATTAGTACAGGCAAATTCATCCTACACACTTTATTGAATGCCCCACAGATGCCTACTACTATCTTTGGCATTGTTCCACAACCCTTGGGGTAAAAGGAAAAGAAAGATAACAAGCTTAAACTGTGTCGGTTACATTTCTTTGATATTTCTTTAAGTAATATGTAAAGACTGGTGGGCTTTTTGTAGATTTGTAGAGATCACAATTTTTTTTTTACTGCTATAAATGAGAATTTTCTGTGTTGTCTTCAGGTTTTTTTTAAAAGACTTATTTTAATTATTTGTATCTCCCTTTGGGTATTTGCACCTGAGTGCAGGTCCACTCAGAGGCTTAAAGTGTGTTAGAGATAATTGTGAGTTGCCTGATGTGGGTTGTTTTGGTTTGGTTTTTGTTTGCGGTTTTGTTTGTTTGTTTGTTTGTTTAGCTGGTTAGTTGGGTTTATCACCTGCCAGGACAGCCTTCCACTGGAATACGAGTAACTCTCCAGTGGCTACATCATTGAACACAATGATGTCTTGTCTCCTTCTGCCCCTTCTCCGAAACCCTCAACTGCCATCGGCTCCCCTGGTCACAGTGAAGCCCTAGAAGCCTCTGTGAATCCCTATGCACCTATGACTGTATGTTTACTGGCCCAGTATTGTGTAGGAACTATGCAGGCAGCCACAGCTGCTGTGAATTTGAGAGCCACAACCATGTCATGTTCACAAAACACTACTCTATGGTCCATTTCCCTATAGTTAAACTTTTATTCTTTTGTCTTCTTTTAAGAAATGTGTACTGGACTTTGGAAAGGGAAATGTTGGTGTCTCCTTTAATGCTGAGTACTCAACATTCACTTTTCTCAGCACCTTGAACATGTATCTACATTAACAACTAGTCACTGCATAGAGACATCTTTAATCAAGGCTGAGGCCAGCACTAATCTATGGGTTTAAAGATAAATGTTTGAAAGGCAGTTTGACAATATGTCTACTTAGCAAAATGTATTTGCAATCTTGGTGGTTTGATTATGTTGTCCCCTATTATCATGGAAGCTGGATACTTGGTCCTTAGTTGGTGATGCTACTTGGGATGTTTAGGAAGTGTGGCCTTGTTGGAGAAGGTATGCCATTGGAGACAAGTTTTGAGAGTTTGAAAACCCTTGACATTTTGAGTTTACTCTCAAGGCTTCCTGCTCGGACTTCAAGATAGGAGATTTCAGTAGATTGTTCCAGCTGCCTTTCTGACTTCCTTGGCTCTGATATCGTGAACTTAACCCTCTGAAACCACATTCACAGATATACTCTTCCATCTATAAAATGCCTTGGCCATGGTGTTTTATTACAGCTATAGAAATGTAACAGGAATGGTCAGGATGTTTTTCAGGGGAAGGAGGAGGGCAATACTTAGGAAGAGAGGGAGGAAGATAACTGTATTGGTTACCTTTCTATTACACTGATAAAGCATCATGACAAAGGCAACTTTTATAATAAAGTGTGACTTGGACCAACAGGTTGTTCTTTAGTGACAAGTTCCTAAGGTGGAGGATGACAAAATGACGATAGGAAGGTTGTGACCATGAGATCTTGCATAAGTTGATGACTTATACCAAACTAATTTATTAAGAAATATAGCACCTTCGATACAGTTTTCAAGACAAAAGAATGGGACAGACTCACAGCAAGCTATTCAAGTAATGGTGCACAAAAGGAAGGCAGGATCTCAAGTGCGTCACCAAATCAGGAACACAGTGGTTTTGGTACTGATAACTTCATCATCGTTAGGGGGAAATTCAGGTTCCCAGGAATTGAACCTTTACTGCTTTGAGGCCCTGGCCCCAGGCCCATTCTAGACCTTGCCAAATCTGCTCCTGGGCAAAGACACAGAACTAGCATTCTCTTTGTGCTTTTGTCAAGACCTCTGAGAAGTAAGCATCTCTTGCAAGAAAGTTGGTATTCTAGAACACGGGGTTAATCTGGGGAAGACTATTGTTGTCTTTTATCCCCCCAGATACCAGAATAGTGACTTCCTACAGCATGAGGTTAGTTCTAGCATGGTGCCCCTGCATTCTGTGACCAACTGCGTGATATCCTCAGCAGTAGGATCTCCTAGTTACGGTGAGCAACCATTAGCAATGGCCATAACCTACAAAATTTGAGGGACCCCTGGGAAATCATATCTCATTAGCATCATCTATCTCTATGGAGGGGTGTGAAGTTTAGTACTGTAATAGGTCACCTTCAGAAAGTTTGGAGTGCCTTTGTTCGAATTGTTTGTTTTATTTCCTTCAACTGTTTGTTTTCACAGTCATCATTTAGGCATTTGCTCATATTGTCTTTCATATTATGGAACGTTGTTTTTTACCATTTCTCCTCCTCTTAACTTTTTTGAGAATTATGTTCATGCACTATATTTTGATCAGTTCCCCTTTGATAATTCCTCCCAGATCTTCCCCACCTTCCTACCTACCCAACTTTATCTCCCTCTTTAAAAACAGAAAAGAAACAAAACAGTAGGGAAAAAAAAACCCAAGAAATCAAAAACTCCACAAAATGAATAACAAAATAAAAAAACAAAAGACCCATAAGACAAAAAAATAATGTGAAAACAAAGCAAAATAAAACAAAAAGTCCACAAAAGTACCACTGAGTTTATTTTGTCTTGGCCAACTAACTACTCACAGACATGGTGTCTTTCTCTGAAGTATGGTTAATATAGTCAGGGAGAAAATTAATTTTCCTTTGTTAGGGGTAGGGCCCTGTGCCCGCTTACTTCTCTCAGTACTGGGACCCTGTCTAGCTTGAACCCTCTGCAGGTCTTGTGCACACTACCACAGTCTCTGAATTCGTGTGCACATCAGTCCTGTTGGGTTCAGAAGACACCGTTTGCTTGGCTCTTACTTCTGGCTCTTAATATCTTTCTGCCTCCTCTTCGTAGCTCCTTGAACCTTGAAGGGAGGGATTTGATAAAACCAAGCCATTTAGGACTGAATGTTTCAAAGTCACTCATCTGTATATTGTCTTGTGGCTCTCTGTGTTAATGTTCATCTACTGTAAGAAGAAGCTTCTCTGGTGTGGGTGAAGTGAGCCACCGATGTATGGGTCTAGCAGTTTGTCATTAGAGGTCATCTTATTGCTATGTATCTTTAACGGAGTGATTGTAGTAGTAAGTTTTCCACTGGGCCCCAATTACCTATCAAATTCTCAGATTCTTGGCCATTTTAGCAGTGTCAGGTATGGGGTCCTTCTTATGGAGTGGGCCTTAAGTCTATTAAAAAAGGGGTTGTGCCACCCATGTGCCAGCATATCTTGCAAGCAGGTCACTGTTGTTGGTCACAAGGCTTGTAGCTGGGTGGTGCTGACAATTACCTTTCCCCTCTGGTAACATGCAGTATATTGTTGTACCATGAATGCTAGTCATAGGGGTGATGCTTCTAGTTAGGCTCCAGTTTGAGCCTATGCCTTTGAACAGATTTATAGTCACTGTCTTGTAATAACTGTTGTAGAAGTAATAATTATCAAGAAGTTGCTTTACTCAGAGAATATTAAAATGGGGTTGCTAATCTCTGTAGTAGACACGTTGTCTTTGTTTAATCATTTTGTGTGACTTTTTGTGATGTGTCTTAGGCATCTAGAATTTGGTCATTGACATTGTTTTCTGGTCTGGATGTCTAGTCTCGCATTTGTTGAGTGCTTGCTTGGGTTCTTGTTTGCTCTTACTCCGTATTGTCAGTTTGTGGTTCATAAATGGGTGCTTGCTGCTCATTCCATGGGCCGTTGTGTATTGGTGTGGGATGGGGTGTCAGAAGTGGTCTCAGTGTGGTTAGGGACTGGTACAAAATCTTAGCCCAGTATTAAATCTTCTGTAGGCTTAGAAGATTTCTCTAAATATCTTTAGAAGTTCGTGTGGGGCTTATCAGATTTTGTGGGTGATTCTGGAGGTCATGATCTGGCTCCATGAAATGCTGATGGAGGGCAGGTGGTGGATAGGGGAGCGTGCATTGGACTTTCTCATTCTTAGGTAATGAGAGACTTAAACCAGACTCCAAGATAGGGGAGCTCCTTTTCTCAGTATTTTCCCCCTGGTGTTTTTTTCCCCCTACCTTTGCCTTGGGCTGTCTGTACACTTCTGTAACCAGAATACTCAAATAAACATTGACAATCTAAATGACAACACAATAAGAAGTCATGGTAGTTGCTTAAAATTCAAAATTCAATATTCTAAAAATCTTGTAGATATTTTAATAAAAATGAAAATATAGATTTTGCTGACCATTTTCTTTTTTCTTTAAGGTGAAGATAGATTGAAGGAAGGTGGTATTGAATTGTGGCTGCTTAGTCATGGCAAGTAGAAAACCAAGCTCAAGAGGTGTCATCCAGCGTGGCCTTCATCCATACACTACTACATATAGCTATATGTGGCCTGCCTTCTGTGGGTGCCACCCCAGGCATAAAGTCCTAATGTCCAGAATCTCCTCTCTCTCTCTCTCTCTCTCTCTCTCTCTCTCTCTCTCTCTCTCTCTCTCTCTCTCCCTCTCTCTCTCTCTCTCTCTCTCTCTCTCTCTCCCTCTCTCTCTCTCTCTCTCTCTCTCTCTCTCTCTCTCTCTCTCTCTCTCTCTCTCTCTCTCTCTCTCTCTCTCTCTCTCTCTCTCTCTCTCTCTCTCTCTCTCTCTCTCTCTCCCTCTCTCTCTCTCTCTCTCTCTCTCTCTCTCTCTCTCTCTCTCTCTCTCTCTCTCTCTCTCTCTCTCTCTCTCTCTCTCTCTCTCTCTCTCTCTCTCTCTCTCTCTCTCTCTCTCTCTCTCTCTCTCTCTCTCTCTCTCTCTCTCTCTCTCTCTCTCTCTCTCTCTCTCTCTCTCTCTCTCTCTCTCTCCCTCTCCCTCTCTCCCTCTCTCTCTCTCTCTCTCCCTCTCTCTCTCTCTCTCTCTCTCTCTCTCTCTCTCTCTCTCTCTCTCTCTCTCTCTCTCTCTCTCTCTCTCTCTCTCTCTCTCTCTCTCTCTCTCCCTCTCTCTCTCTCTCTCTCTCTCTCTCTCTCTCTCTCTCTCTCCCTCCCTCTCCCTCTCTCTCTCTCTCCCTCTCTCTCCCTCCCTCTCCCCCTCTCCGTGTGTTGCCCACTTCAGGCAGGAGTTAATTGATATCACAGGATCATGATTGAATGCATTAGGTCCTAAGATTGGATTAGACCCAGATGAGGTTTGAAGTTAGGCTAACAGACAGAATATTTGATTGATTCTGAGTGAAAATTTGAGGGTTTTGTGCTAATGTGAAAGGACAGGGCATCCGTCACATCTCTCTGGCAGGGGCGCAGTGAGGTGACTTTAGGTTTAAGGTTGCCAACCTGTTACCCGGTTGGTATAGTGACTAAAATTCAATTTATTAAAAAAAAAAGAGAGAGAGAAACTGGTGTTTTTTTTTTTTTCCAGTTCCTGTAGTTAATGGAACCATGCCCTGAGAAGCTGGTGAACTTGCTTAGTTAAGCCTTAGACAGCATGCAGTGACGTACACTACTTTACTATTAGAGTCTTTAGGGAGAAGCAGAACCTGTGTGTGAGTAAACAGACTTGTCTATGTTTCCTGTTCTGGCTTAGTGTGAGGAGTCTGGCTGAGTTTAAAGAACTCACTTGTTTTGGAGGCAGGTTCAAACTGCTTGAGGCTGGAAGCCAGAAGGAGACTCTGGGAGGAGTGAAGGTCAACAGTGTGATTCTGTCTTATCTGGAGGTCAGTATTGTGTACTAAAGGCTTTGGCTGCTTGGTGGAGCCCCACCTTCCCACCACTGGTGCAGAATCTGGTTTCTCCAAAATCTCCTGATCATGTGGTGCAGAAATAATGTCTACTTGCTGTCACTGTGGCAAGATACTGAAGATGAGGGTAGCTAACATATTTTAAATTACATGATTTTATTGGAATACTGTTTTCTAAACTGACAAATTACTTTTCTTATTAAAGGTAGTTTTATAAAATGGTTCTACCCAAAATGCGTAGTTATGATTACTACTGTTACTATGATTAATAAATTTGCAGACATTAGCAGCTGACTGTACTCTGTAGATGAGACTGTTTTGGGCTAAGAGTGCACTCCCGTTGAAGTGTAATTGCAGAAGGGATGAGCACCCTTTTAGCTTTTTTGCTCTTTTGGTCTGAAAACCAGTTCTTGCGTGGGGACCTGTAGTCGCCACTGCAGTAGTCATTGTTTCCCTTCAATGTTCTTTTTTGATAAAGACTTTATTTTACCTTCTGGAGGACAAGACCGATTAAAGAAAGTGTCTTCACTTATTATGCTTATGTTTTATCATACTTAGATTCTTCAAAATCTATTGACTTTTTAGGTTCATTCTATTCTGCCATGGAATATAACTGAATATAAATCAAATCAATGAAAAAATAGGAGGCCCATCAAAGCATTGGTTGAGATATATTCAATTTTAATGACTGGATTTTATAGTCAAATTTAGTCAACAAGGTTTCTTCATCAGTATGCTTAGCTCCTTACTGTTTTTTGCTTCCAATTTGCTCTGGCTTTTAAAATTGATAATGCTTGGGAGACTTTACAGAAATAGATGCTATTTGAACTGGCTTACTGGGTTATTCTTCAAGGATGCAAATAGCTACCAAGCAAAGAAAAAAAGAAGGGTCCTGCTTTGATCCTGTTATTGTGAGTAAAAACTTTGACAATCTGTGTCCTCATTGGGCAGAATATCTAGATTGCTTGGTTACAGGTTATACAATATCACCTCCAAGCACATTTCTACTGCATAGAGATCTTTTCTTTATTAGGAATTTTGTTAATTGGGTACATTTATTAGGTAAAGGCTGCTTAGTACACATAAGACATATATATATAGTATATAATGGTCAAATCAGGCAGTTAACAATTCAGTCTCCTTAAATATTAGAATTGATCAACACTCAGGTGTGATAATTTTAACATATGCCTGCAGTGTGCTGATCAATTTCCATCTTCTTGTCATTACTTTGTGTCTGGAACCTTCCATACCAGTTTGTTCTGAGCTGTGACCGCCTCTTTTGTGATGGAACATTAAAAACTTCCACTTCTTCTGACATCCGCTTTTTGCATCTGTTTGAAAATATAAGGATCCAGATAAAGACTGTGCTTCCTCATACATTTCTTAATTACTAAAAATATTTCATTTATTACCGTTATTGTTATTGTCATTATTACTGTGTATGTGTGTAGGTCAGAGGACAGCTGTGGGGGTCACTTCTCTTCTCTGAGCCATCTTGCCATCACTATAGCCTCGTGTCCCTCCTTGACCTAATGAACATCCGAACACTTTAATTCCATTCAGTGGATGGAAAAGATCAAATCTTTATTGGCATTAGCACACATGATCTTTTAAAGCATTTTCTTATGCCTCTAGGAAAGTAACTCATTTACTTCTGTGACGGAAGTTACTTCTCTTTCTGGAGAACACATTTGTAGTTTTCACCTTATTCTTCGAATTTGTACAAGATCATCTGAAATCAGAAATGCATGAAACCGAGAGAGGCAGTCCCTTGATTTTGTGGAATAGTCACACTTCACAGAGAGTTTAAATGAACCTCTAAGACTTAGATGATACCGCTTCTTCAGATTGAAATCTCTGCTTTTCATGTCATTAATTATACCACCACAGCACACTGTTGTAGATAAATTTTAACTGAGCTTTTGTTTTAAAATACACATCCCCATGCCCCAGGAGTCTTCAGACATAGTGAAAACATGGAGAGGGTAGTTTCCATGTAGCACATATGTGCTTTCCCTTCTATGATCCTGCTGGGGGTGATATGTTCCATTCATCTGTCTGCTATTACCAGCTAAGTCTGTAGTTTCTCTAGGTGTCTTCAGTGACCCTTCTTGGAGCCAACATTACCTCTATGATTTAGCTAATTGTTCTATTCTCTTCTTGATTATGACAGTAAAGTTTAAGAGCGGTTAGTACTTTATCAATTTTTTTTTAGCAAAACAGAAGTTTGATGCTTTTTTTCCTTTATTAAGAGATTGTGCTTTTTAAAAATTTAATCCACATATTTTAACTACTTGATTTCTTTCTAATAGACAGTTTTATGATGTTTGCATAAAACACTTTATTTGTACTGTTTCAGTCCAGGCAAAAATGAAGTAAATAACTAAAAAGACATTTCTGCAACCCCCCCTTTTTTTCAGATCAAAATTTAGCTTTGTCAATGTATAGGGAAATTACTTTTTGCCCTTTTTAAATAAAAAAGCTTTTACTTTTTGAATTCATTTTACATTCCAGCCACAGTTCTCCCTCCCACTCCTCCTCACCCCCTCCCCAGTCTACCCTCAGTCCTCTCCTCGTGGGTAAGGGCTCCCATGAGAGTCATCATAGTCTGGCACAATAGGGTGAAGCGGATTCGGGTCCCTCTCCCATGCGTTCAGAGTGAGCATGGCATCCCACCATAGCGAGTGGACTCCAACAAGCTGGTTCATGTGCCAGGTTTGTGTCATGGTCCTACTGCAGGGACCCTCAGCTAGTTCAAGCTTCACAACTGTCTCTCACATATGGTGGACTTAGTTTAGTCCCTTGGAGTCTCCACAGTTGTAGGTCTAAAGTAAATGAGTTTCCACAAAAGTACGGAATGCTTCACGAACTTGCATGCCATCATTGCTCAGGGACCTTGCTAATCTCTCTCTCATTCCAGTTTTAGTATGTGTGCTGCTGGAGTGAGCACTAATTAGGGTTTTTATTGCTGTGATGAACTACCATCACCCAAAGCAAGTTAGGGAGGAAAGGGTTACCTGGGCTTACACTTCAGCTTTGCTCTTCATCACTGACCGAGGCCATGGAGGGTGCTGCCTACTGACTTCTCTCCCATGGCTTGCTCAGCCACATTGTCATAGAACCCAGGACCACCAGCCCAGGGATGGCACCACCCACTATGGGCTGGACCCTTCCCCATTGATCACTAAATGAGAAAATGCCTCACAGCTGGATCTCAAGGAGGCATTTCCTCAGCTGAGGCTCCTTCCTCTGATGACTCAAACTTTAGTCAAGTTAAAACACAAAACCAGCCAATACAGAGATTAAACCTTTTGTTTGTTTTGGTTGGTCTGTTAGTGAAAGAAGGGTGTACTGCAGAATATAAATGAACTATCATTTAATTAAAATGTAACTTGTAAATATAAACAGTCTGAGAGCTGACTGAATTGCTGGAGGCAGAGGACTAAATCCTCAGGTGTTCAGGGTCAGGACAGCCTCTTCTGTCCTCTGTGCTTGCTGCCTACAATGCCCCAGCTTTTCTGGACACCATTTGAGCACAGAAAGAGTTGTCTGTCTCCTTTTTTTGTCTGAATCTTAATTATTTCACTAACCAGAAGCAGGAAACGGAGTATTTACACTGTGAACTTCAGCAAAGGTTTGACCGTACAGCACACAGAAGTGTCAGTTCCCCTGTTAAAGTCACTGTCCTGTTGGGTAGTTGCGGGAGCTGAAGAAAGGGAGATTAGATGTTGGCTCCTCCACGTAAAACTGTGGTGGTGCAGGAGGCATTTATGTCTGGCTGAGCTCTATTACTCACGACGCAAACTCTTCATCCATGACGTCAGAAGACACCTTTGTCTCCTCTGAACCTGTAACACCTTACCTTCTGTTCTTTGTGTGTTACTGTTTCCACTGGCAAACTCCCAATACTAAATGTCACTGGTTGTGAATAGGAAGTCATTTACAAACTGAATTCTTCCTATGTGAGTGAATCTAGATGAATTTCTCATCTTTCAGTAACTTTGCATATTAAAATTTTGGGGAGAATGAGACCCACATAAGTACTTAGGTAATTAAAATATGTTGAAACACACCTGGAGTTTTAACTGCCAGAGATGAATCTGGGCAGGCGACCCTGGATAAGACCTTGGTTTAATACTTGGAAGTGATCTTACTTTGATCATTTAGCAACAAAACAGAACCAGGGTAGCGCAGCTTCCTAGAGTGGCCCATCTTGTTGCCCCAAGTAGTTAGCGCTCTCTAGGTTTATATTTATTTCATCTTAAACCAGAACTTCGTGAAGATTGGTATGCTGGCTGATTTTGTGTCAACTTGAAACAAGCTAGAGTCATCAGAGAGGAAGGAGTCTCTGTTGAGAAAATGTCTCCATGAGATTCAGCTGTAAGGCATTTTCTCAATTAGTGATCAATGCGGGAGGGCCCAGCCTTGGTGGGTGGTACCATCCCTGGGCTGGTGATTCTGGGTTCTATAAGAGGACAGGCTTAACACATCAGGGGAAGCAGCTCCCTTCCATGACCTCTGCTTTTGCTCCTGCCTCTGAGATCCTCCCCTCTGTGAGCTCCGGTCCTGACTTCCTTCAGTGATGAACAGCAATGTGGAAGTATAAACCAAATAAACCCTTTCCTTCTTGACTTGCCTTTTGGCCATGGTGTTTTGTCTCAGCAAGAGAAACCCTAAGACAGTGGGATAGTTAAAGACTATTCTGATCATGCCATCTCTCCCAATGATTCTTTCAGTGGCTTCTGGTATTCCTAGAACTATCTTCCATCCCTGTCTTTCGAGTGCATTCTGTCCCAGTGTTCTCTGGTTCCTGCTAACTTCTCCATTCCTTATTTGATATGGAAGGTGTGATATTTCTCCTACCCCCACACTCTCTCCCTGAAGCATGGTCCTCCTACTCTTACCTAGATGCATCAGGTATTTTTTTTTTCTTGATGTGATGTAAAGACCTAGTTCCTGCCTGGAAAACAACGTGCTGGAGCCAAACAGACTGAGGTGAAAACTTTTCTTTATTTTTGAGACTATATCATATGTAATCTAGTCTGGTTCCCAACTAAGTATATAGCCCAAGATGCTTTGCCTTTTCTGAAGATTGAACCCATGATTTTGTATACCTTAGACAATTCTCTGACATAAGTAAGCTACTTGAAGATCCAAGACCATTCTGATATAATAGTTGGTTGTGTAGTGGATACTTGTAGTGGATATATTTTTAATAGTTAAATAAAGTGTATATCTTAATATAAATTACCTCTAGAACTTTGTGTGAGGCATGACCAAAAAAGAACCCAAGGGAATTCATGTCAATATAATTTGTTCTACTTCAGACATTTACAGAAAGTGAAGGACCTGTTAAGACTTCTGCAACTGAACGTTTCACTGTTGTGCAGTTAGCTGGTAAATAAGGACTCTAGGGAACGGTTTCTCTGACAGATTCCCATCACATAATATATTTTTAGATTTGGCACCTTGTTAGTCTAAATGATTGCAGTGAAGACATGAGTGGTCATGTTGTACATTGAAATTGCTTGTGACAATCTCATAGAAGAAACTTTTTTGTTGATTTATTATTGTCTAATAATATGGCTCATTCTTGCAAATATTATTTGTTCTGAGCTCTAATGGGAGGACTGATGACAGGTAGGAGTATCATAAATCATCATATAAAGTGACTTACTACCATGGGTTTATTAATAATACTTAAACATTTTTTAAGCATCATGATTAGCTTCTGAATAGATTCAGCAATTTATTTAGAAGAACAAGTCCCATGAAATTTAAAACAGGGACTCTTTTTTTGTCTATGTCTAATTAAGCAGCTTAGTTAATTTATAACTCATATAATTTAGTGTTTCAAAGTTCTGTCTATTAATTTTGAATTCCATTTCTTCTAGCAAAGTTCAGGCATTTAGCAGAGTTGAGAAGTGGTAGGATGTTAGTGGTTAATTATAAGGTCTCTAGCACAAAACAGAATTTCAGTTCTGACATTGAATCTTTGTGTTCTTGGGTCCTATGAGATGTCCAGCCATTTGCAGTATCAAGCACTGCAGTTAGTTAAAAGAACAGAACATTCTCATAATTGTAGATTTTAAAAACCTGACACCAGGGAAGCAGTAGGGTTAGTTTGTTCTGGGCTTGTAGCTGCTGTCTTCACATGCTCCTCTTTGTATATGTCTGTGTCTATAAAATCACTAGTAAGATTGGGTTAGAACTCACCATGATGATATCAACTTAATTACTTCTTTAAAGACTCTTAAGTATAGTTAGCTAGAGTCTGAGTTCCTGATGGTAGGGTTTCAATACGTGAACTTGGGGCATTGGGACCATGATTTACCTCATAACACATCCTTAGTTATGCTTGATTTGTAAAATGCGTTAATAGAAACACTTTCTGTTGTTGTTGTGAACATTACAATAGCCGGTTTGCTCAAGAGGTGAGGTGGTAAATTGGGGTCTGGCGAGTAGGCATGAAGAGAAGCACCACCCTCTGCACTACAGCTGCAGCTTCTCTTGATTGATGGGTTGCATCCTTTGACATCATTCCTCAGACACCATGCAGTTTGGCTTCCCTTCTGGCGCCAGTGGAGAGCCAGGCTTTCTGCTATTATCACAATATGTGGCCGTGGGGGACAGTAGCAGAGTACATTGTTTTTTCAAAGCAAAGAGCACTTATTCTAATTTTTCCTGCTTGCCTTCCTACCTTGCTACATTCCTGCCTGGTGTAGATAATGGTGGCTTTGTAGAAAGAAAGCTGAGATGAATTACCCCATAGTTAAGCTTTGTTAGAAGAATTATAGCATCACAGCCTGTAGCGGTAAGGACAAGCATTCAGGTGCAGATAAGGGCTTCATTATGAGAAACAGTTGTCAAGGATAGTGTTGATGGGGTCCTGAAGGGACAGAGCCTTCATTTCTCCTCAGGTCTGAAGGACCAGGAAAAATACAGCACAATGGGATCTTGCAAGCGAAGGTAGACCTTCAGTTTTGAAGAAAAAAAACGTGATTTCTTTCTCTCACATGATTTCAAGGACAGGTGGATAAGTTCCATGCCATGTAACTCAGCCTAGATTTAAAAGTCATAAGACCCTGATAAAGCAAAGCAATAATTCAAGCTTGTCTTGGGTCTAGGAGCAGATGGTCTGTCTGCAGCTGCCAGAGGGGGAGAGTGAACTCTGTGAGAACTGTAAGGTCACTGAACACCTTCTTCTCAGCTCTTTCTAGGGAGAGAGTCTGTAACCTGACCCAGGCTTCCTCCCCTGCCCCCCATCAACCTTTAGTCCTTGTCCTTCTTTTGTTTCTTTTTTAACTAAAATAATAATAATAATAATAATAATGATGATGATGATGATGATGATGATGATAATTTATAATTTAGCTAGAATGGCCTTGATTGAAATCATGGTTCTCCTGCATTAACTTCCAATGTTCTTCTTCTGACCTCTGTGAGCATCAGGCATGCAAGGGATACACAGACATACATAGAACAAATCTCTCACTCATATATATATTATATATATATAATAAATACAACTAAACCAAACATAAGTACATCCATTCTTCTAAGTTCAAAGATTAACACACATCTTGCTAGGGATTGGAAAAACACAGAATATAATTAGTTTGCTATTCCCCGAAGTTCTTTACTATTTCAGTTTTTAGCAAGTAAAACGAATACTCCTTCACTCTAAGTTCATGTCCTTGAACTTGCACTGGCTTTCCCGGTTGCCATCTCCTCCTGACAGGAGAACACATAGGCTCTCTCTACCTTCTTTTTATCTTTATTACAGACCAATCTAGGGATTTTTAAAATCCTTCTTGTTTCTTATTTAGTTATTTTTCTCATCCCTATACATTTTCTGGTTTACTTTTAAACTGACATCATTTAATTTTAATATTTTTGGCAGAAAAGAACAAGTTAGTACCCTGTACCAGAACATCAATCTTGTGGAACCAAGACTAATCCAGCCATATGAACATGTGATAAGAAACTTTCTCCGAGAGATCAAACTCCAGAGCACAGAAATGGAAAACTTGGCCATTGCAGTGAAGAGGTATCATTCTGCTTCCTTTCTGAGAACATGTAGGGTTCTTCTACTTGTTTTGTGACCAGGGGGTGAAAAGGGACTGAATAGCACAGCCATGTTATGATAAAAGTAGACTTCTTGAACTTTTGGAATACAGAACATTCTAGAATATTTCACACAGGATAAGTTGTGTCAGGTCGCAATTGCAGGGTCAAACAGCAATCTGTTGGTTGGCCACCCTATGTTGTCACATCCTCCAATCTGACAATTCCATCCTGAAAAATTCAGAATGTTTCTTCTCCCCACCCACTTGAAAAAAAAAAACAGGAAAATTCTAGAGAGGTAGGTAGACTCTGAAGCCAAGCCAGGTAAAATCTCAGAGGAATGGAGATGCACCCTTTGAGGCCATGAGTTCCAGTACATGACGCTTGGGTAGAGTAGAAGATGTTTTCTAACAGATATTTTGTCTCTGGAACTTTAGGAGACTGATTAGAAACAGTTGCTGAAATAGATCTTTCTGGCTTTAACTTTAACATATACAATTGTGAAGTTTATATAATAGAATTTAAAAATTATATCTAACTGTCTATTGCCATAAAGCTCTTTTCTTTATTTTGGTTTGTCACTCAGTTGTGTTGTGGCAACAAGATGTTCCCATTTGCTGACAGTTTCCCAGAAATTTGCTGTCTTTAGCTATTGTTTGCCTCAGGCTAATAGGTAATATATTTCAGTTGTTTAATGCCGTTTTACATCCAAATAGTCATGTTAGAAGGATTGGGAAATACCCTGTAGGGTAGTATCCTCACCTATATAATGGAAAGCCTGAAGCTGATGAGCTTTGAGTTTCTCCTCACATTTTTCAGTCCAAGTATACAGTGTTTTTTTTGTTTGTTAGTTTGTTTGCTTGTTTTTTTTTTAATTTCAGAGCCCAGGACAAGGCAGCCATTCAGCTTAGTGAGTTGGAAGAGGAAATGGATCAGAGGATTCATGCAGTGGAAAACGAGACGCGAAAAGATGTGAGTTTGTGGATTGGCCTTTCATTTGTTCCGCAGATCGTCAGGGAGCTCATTTTACTGTGGCACTCTGAGCACTTCTCTTGGTACCAATCAAAGCTTGGGGATATTAGACTTCACTACATAGTACCTTCTAGATTTTGAACAGAGAAAGGATTTTTATAACTAGGGGTGTTTTGTGTTCATGACTTGAAGAGAAACAGGCTGTAATCAAGTAAATTGAGTTTGTATGTCTCCAGTACTGGTAAGTGTAGCATAAGCCTCATGTGAGTGGGATAGGGGTCAGTTTGCATGGGAGAGCAGAGGTCTCTTTGAAAGGCATGACAGGGAGTGGAGGACTAGAGTCACTTTTGGTGAAAGATGGCTGAACATCTACCTCCATGTTGATCTCATTACCCAACTTTAAATCTTCATTGCAGTTAATTTAAAATCCCGTCTCCTAACTGTGGTTTTTATGATGGAATCTTATTTTCCTAAGTACTCTAAGTGGAAAGTTCATGCTCTCTAGTGATTTCCTCAAGGAAAGTTTGTTTTTCAGTATGAGATGTATTTGGCCAGTTGATGTTTATGTGAAAGCAGACAATATGCACTTTTTTGAGTAGGTAACATTAGGGTGTAAAAATTGGATTTTGGTGTTGATGGACAATAAAAGTGCAGACCCCAGTGCTGGCATTGAAGAGACCTAAGTTTATGTCCTGACTTGTCCCTCACCAAGGCTAGGGGGTACTAGAGAAGTAATCTCTCTTGTGAGTCTGTGCCCTGTCACCTACCAGCGTCAAGTAGTATTAATAATGGTAATGTATGTAAGGTTCTGAGAGGTGTTGCCTATGATAGGCACTACCATGGCTGTTACTCTCTTTTTCTCTGCTTTCTTTGTTTCCTTCCAGATGGTTTATCTTATTGTCTTTACCACACACATTGATCCCTTTGGGTATCTTTTTTGTCATATCTCTTTAATAATATTTTTATTAATTCTTTGAGAATTTCTTTTTTTATAAAAATTTACTTTACATAACAATCCCAGTTCCCTCTCCCTCCCATCCTCTCATGGCTCCCACCAACCTCCCCCTCCATCCCATCTCCCATCCACTCCACAGGGTGGGTGAGACCTTCCATGAGGGATCATCAAAGTCTGTCAAGTCATTTGGGACAGGACCTAGGCCCTCCCCATGTATCTAGGCTGAGACAGTATCTCTCATGGGGAATGTGCTCCTGAAGTCTGTTCGTGCACTATGGATAAATACTAGTTCCATTGCCAGAGGCCCTATAGATGACTCGGGCCTCCCAACTAACACCCACATTCAGGGGTCCTGGTTTGGTCCTATGTAGGTTCCCCAGCTGTCATAGTGGGGTCCGTGAGCTCCCACTTGTTCAGGTCAGCTGTTTCTGTGGGATTCCCCAGCATGGTCTTGACCCCTTTGTTCATCACTTCTCCGTGTGCACAACTGGATTCTAGGAGTTCAGCTCAGTGCTTAGCTGTGGATCTCTACTGGATGAAGGCTCTAGGATGGCATTTAAGGTTGTCATCGATCTCATTATTGGGGAAAGGCATTCAAGATAGCCTCTCCACTATTGCATAGATTCTTAATTGGGGTCATCCTTGTGGATCTTCGGGCATTTCCCTAGTGTCACATTTCTCTTTAAACCTATACCTCTATTAAGGTATCTCTTATCTTGCTCTCCTCTCTTCTTCCCCCAATTCAGTCTTCCTGATCCCTTATGTTCTCCCCTTCTCTTCTCCTACCCCCCTCCCAATTTGTTCATGAGCTCTTGTCCCTTTTCCCTTCTCCAGGGGACCATGTATGTCTCTCTCCGTGTCCTCCTTGTTTCCTAGCTTCTCTGGAGGTGTACATTCATACAATGTTTTTTGTTTATATTCACCACTCCTTAGCTCTTCCCAGATCTACTGATTTTTCTCTATCTACCCAACTGCCTGTTCTTTTTGTTTTCTTTTAATCCTGTCTTTGTCCAGTTTATGCTACCCTATCTCTTGCTAGGCCAGTTGTTATATTGTTATTGTAGCTCACCGGGTTCACACATGGGTGAAATTGATGAATACTTTTCAAGTCTGACAGAGTTCATAGCACCTTCCACACCATGAAAGCTCGCTGATAAAACTGAAGCTTCCATGTCAGTTCTTGTCTGATTTCTCCGTGTTTTGTAGCTCAAATATGCAGTGTCTTTAGCAGCAGATTCTTACCATCATGCTCTGGAGAGTAGCCAAGAGCGTGTAATAGCATGCAATGTGTGTGGGTTCTCTAGCAACTGCAAACCCCTGGTAATAGCATGTGATATGTGTGGGCCCTAGAGGAGTCTACTGGTCAGCAACTGAAAAGAGATAATCCATTCTCGGTATGGGGGTTCTTATTTACTAGTATTGTTGGCTTATTGGGGTATTGTCCCTTTGTTATAGGGTAACTCCATTTAAAATTTTAGAAGATGAAATAATAGGGATGGAAACTTCTACAGTAGCAGCTTTGTCCTATCTCCTAAAAAAAAGTGTAAAAATCTCTATGGATGTTTTATTTAACTTGTAGCTGGTTCTGGGTACATGGCCCAGCATTGGTGCAAATGGTTTTTTCTTTTACCCTTTTTACAGCACAATCCTCTTGTGCATAGAAACAGTAAATTCATTTTTAGCTCTCTTTAAAACTTTATAGCACTGTTTAATCTGTTCTTCCATTCATTGATCAAATAGTTCTCATATACAAATGCTGAACTGTGACCAACTCTCATTGCTTTCAGTGCTGCCCAGATCAGTTGTGGGTACCTCTTATAATTTCATGCTTTGCTAATGATAATCTTCTCTTATTTTCCTGGCTTTAGTCTAGAAGTAAAAAAGTAACCTACAGCTTATTTTCTGTAGTCTACTTGTGGCCAGTTGGCTTCTGTGCCTATGTACCCTGAGACCTCAGCATGCCTGTCAAGACTTTACTGACAGCTGAGCATTTGGGCACTGGGAGGAACCCTGTCTGCCAACCCTTCCCAATGCCAGCTCATACCTTTAATCATGCTTTCTCTGGAATCACACATGATGGATGGTTAATTAGGGACATTCTCTAGCTTCCTTCAGTCACCATCAGCTTCCTGGGCTCTTCATCCCGTATACTATTTCTCCAGGGGCACCACCTCATGGCTTTTGAGTCTGATTTAAAGTCCAAATGTTTTCTTTGCCATGGTGATTTTTTTTTTACCAGATCTCTTTCTTACTTTCCTCAGTTTTGCAAAGTTGAGTCTCCAATTTACATTAATATTCTCACCTAGTTCTCTAACCCGAGGAGTTCCGCCCATGACGCTTATATGGTAAGTGTATGTGTATATATATACACATACATACATGCTATCATTACAACTCTTTACAACTGTGACACTGGACTCTTCTTTCATGCCCATTTGCTATCTTTGTCTGGTAGACGACCACTTTTCCATGTTTTTGTCACTATTTTTTTGTCACAGATTTATTTCATGTTTTAAAAACTGTATATAAATGGAATACTGCAGTGTGCCCTTTTTATTCCCTGGCTGCTTTTGCTCAGCATACTTACTGTTAGATTTAGCCATGTGTCAGTACTCACTTACCTTATAGTAATGCAGACTTCCATTGTGTAATATGAAGCATGGTGTGTGCTCATGCATCTGTTGACACTTGAGTTCCATCAGTTTTCAACCATGCAAGATGGTATGAGTATTCGTGTATGAAAATTTATGTATTCTTATGGATTCTAGCCAGTTTTCTGGGTTGATAATAACAAAATGTATAAAGATAATTTTACTTCTCTTCCTGATGATGTTTTCTTGTCTTACTGGCTATGATATATTATATTCCATCTGTAATGATGAATTCAGTTTGCTAAATTTTTATTCTATCTATGTCTGTGGATGCATAATTACAGCTCATTGGAGAGATAATTATTTAGGTTTTATGGTGCTTGGAATGACCTACCAAGAAACAGTTGTAAACATATCTATTAGAGCAGCACTGACCATTTTTATGGGGTCATATTTGGGTATACAGGAGATAAGCAGCTCACTGGCCACTTAGGCAGTATTTTACAACACAATTTGTCTTTGCTGGGACTGATAGTTTATTGTGAGGCCCAGGGATCAGTCACAGTTAGGGATTATTTTTTTATAAAAGTCATTACAAGTTGTTGGGTCAGATGCCTATCAGTTAGGGCCTGGGAGTGGGAGATTCTGCTGCCTATATTTTTGCTTTTTTCAGTGACATTATTATTGTTATTATGATAATATGAAAAGATAGTAAAGAAGCAATTATTTTCTATCATTGAATAATGGATTGATTGTTTCTTCAGTGTACTTCAGTATTTTCTGAGATTCTCTTCATTAAACATCAATAATTTTATCACTTTAAAAAGTCTGGAATATAATTATATCATATACCCCTTTCTTTTTTTTCCCTGTCAAACTCCTACCATATTCCAACCCCCTCATTTCCTCTCAAATTCATGGACCCGCTTTCTTTGTTACTGTTACATGTATGTGCATTAATATATAAATCCAGCATGCTGAGTCTGCTTCATGTTGTTTGTATGTACACAAACTTGTATGTATGTATACAGGTTTCTGGGCTGACTACTTGGTATTAGATAAACAGTTTAAGGTCTCATCCCTGAGGAAGACTAATGTCTCCATTATTGTTTAGTAGTTTTTTTTTTTGTCTTGAGGTGGGGTCCCATGAAGTTTCCCCCTTTCATCTTAGCATGCTTTTTGGTGCTGTCCTTGTTCCAGTATTCTGCAGGTCATGATGGTGTTGAGATACCATAGGTGTAGCTTCCCTGTGTTTCCAGGAGATACACTCTCTCAGAAGATTTACTAGTCTTCTGTCTTTTACAATATTTCTTCTCTCTATTTCATGATGATCCCTGAGATGTACATTCACAAGTTGTCTTTTATCCATCGTGACTGGGCACCCCATAATCAATTGTTCTCTGTATTTTGACCAGTTGTGGTTTTCCATACTGCTCTTCAGCTGCAAAGAGATGATGCTCCTTTGAGGCAGGGTTGTGGGCTTGGGGTGTAGGGGAGGCAGTAGCTACATAGATTTTTGGTTATTAGAGAATTTAGAATGCAATTAGGAATTATGCTGGTTTAGTAACGTGTTAGTAGTAGGTTCTCCTCTAAGGTCCGTGACCTCACTAGCCCTGGGTAATTGAATCAGTCTCCAATACAAAACCTGATTTTCCTATTGATGAGTGGTCCTTAAGTACAATTTAATGTGCCATAATTGTACCCTTAGGTATATCATGCACTGCTGCTGGTCACTGTGGATTATAAGCACACACTTGAGTAGGACTTTGGTTGCTTCTATTCCTTGGCAGCTTACATAGCACTATCTGGTACTATAAAAGCTATTCCCCAGGGAAGAAATATTTGGAGTATAGTCCTGTCCAAAGTGTATGGTATCTTCAGCAATAGGGACTTACATAAAATTGGGCAACCAAGGGCAACACAAAAACCTATATTCTTTTTGGAATCATCTTGGACTCCCTTGACATAAAAAAAGAATTTTCATTCCTGGTATTGGGGATTTTTTTAATCTATGGCTCTTGTGGAGAACATTGTCAGCCCAAGTGACATATTGAAGATTTAAGTTTTATATGTATATGTGTTACATATATGTGTATATATATATATATATATATATATATATATATATATATACTTTTTGATAAATAATGAGTATTTATTCCTTATGTTTTTTCCCAAAAAGTCATAGTGTTATTTTGTCCCCCATCCTCCCTACTGTATTGATTTCCTTTCTCTTTTCTATTTAAAACCTCCACCATTTCCCCCATTTTCCCCTTTGTGTCACATGTAGACTGCTTTTCTCTCTCTAGCACCAACTTCTTTCCTCTTGTTATATTTTTATATTCCTAGTTTCTGTGATTATGCCCGGCTTAATACTCACATCTGAAGATTTGGATCTCAGAATCTCAGATGAGAGAGAACATGCACATTTCTCTTTCTGTGTCTGGGTTACCTCACTCAATATAATCTTTTTTGCTTTCATATGCTTACCTGCAGATTTCATGATTTCAGTTTTTATTACACTTGAATAGTATTCCATCATGTATATGAACCACATTTTCATTATCCATTTATCAACTGAAGGGCATTTATGTTGCTTCCTTTTCCTACTTATTGTGAGTAGAGCATCAACACACGTGTCTGAACAAGTATTTGTGGGGTCAAGTCTTTTAGGCACATGACCAGGGATGGTATGGGTTATGTGGTAGAATTATTTTGTCTTTTGGTTAATTTTCCATACTGATTTCCACAGAGGCTACACCAGTTTGCAATCCCAACAGCAATGAATGAAGGCTCCCTTTTCTTTAACCCTCTCTAGATTTGTCGTTAGTTGTTTGTTGTGTTTATCTTAGCTATTGTGACTGGGGTCTAATGAAATCTCAAAGTTGTTCTCAATTGCTCTTTCCTAATTTCTAAAGATGCTGAACATTTTTGAATACTTTTATTAGTTATTGTTATTATATGTATTTTTCAGGTTTTGAATGTCTTCTTTTGATTCTTTGTTTTTTGAGCCTGTACCAATCTCTTGATGTTTGAAGCAACAAAGGGGTCCTTATTGTCTCCTGAGCTGACTTTTTGTGGTATTGTAGATAGGTGAACCTTTACTCACGCACCATCTGACTGCTTTGGGACCTGCATGTTGATCTAGTAGTCCTTTACCCTTAACTTTGGTATTTAATTCATCTTTCTTTAGTGAAGCTAATTGCAGTGCAAAGAGGTTTTAAAAAAGATTTACTTTTTATTTTGTGTGTATAAATGACTTGCTTGCATGCATTTCTGTGCACTGTGTGCTTGCCTATGGAGGACAGAAGAGAGCATCAGATTTTCTGGAAGTGGAGGTACATATGGTTGTGAGCTACCATGTGGATGTTGGGAACCAAACTCAGGTCCTCTGCAAAAGCAGTCAGTGTCCTTAACTGCTGAGCCATCTCTCTAGCCCCAAGTACCTAGATTATTGATTTCTCATCATCTGGGGACTTACAAAAACAAAAGCAAAGAAACCCTTACTATATTGAGCCAAATCAGCACCTCAGCTGTTTTTGCCCTTTTTCTATGTTAGTGTCTCTTTCTGCAGAATTGCGTATTATTAAAAACTGCCTTGTTGTCCCTAGAGTCTTGAATCTGTATTGTATTCCCAACAAGTTATGATCCAGTCTGACCTGGCCTTTACCTGCTGGCCACAGACCATAAATTTATCTTGTAGTTTCAGGGGGGAGGGGCTGCAAGGTCACAGGACAGCTAATCAGCCTGTCTTGCAAGGACACTGCGGGGGGGGGTGAGGGGGACTGGCTTGTTTTTCTTCTGTGGCTGCAGGTGTTTGCCTGTCAGTTCTTTGTCATAAGGGACAGACTGCAAGGGGACTGCTTTTTGGGACAGAGAAAGACAGCTGATGGATCTGTAATATAAAAGTCCTGTTCCAAAAGAGAGAGAGAGAGCATCCCTATTGCCTTTTATAGATCCCATATATATTGCTCAGTTTTTTTTTTTTTCACAGATTCTGTTTACTAGCATGTAGCCAACAGCTTGGAAAGTTTCCAGTCTTCTACCATCACCTTCTTATAAATTAATCCAGGACTTTCTTCCCTAAACCCATTCCTCCTTCTGCCTCACTAGAGATTTCTGCGTAGCAGTCCGTGCGCCCTCTGGTGTGCCTTTTTGTCACTGTCTTCTACAGGAAACTTAATCGAACACATCATAGTGTGAAACATATAGCCACAAGCTGTGTAATGAACAGTGTCTCCACTTCATGTATTTCAGTGGTTCCATCATTAATGCCTGGGGATGTTGTAGCCACCTTACTTGGTATAAATGCATTTCATTATGTTGACTCAAGGAGAAAAATCACTATTCTAATAACATTTCTAAGACTGTACACCTATTAGCAACTCTCCGGGCCTATCACAGTTGCTGTACACTCTGCATAGACATTTGTAAGGTAATGTAAGGTAAAATGAAAACGATAGGACAACAGGTCACTGGCTGTGCCTTCCTGTATGTGTTCACCGGGTCCCCTAGGTTTGCCATATCTTTTGACATCAATGGTTAACTGATTCACTGGTGTGCTGTGGTATTATCACAGGGTTACAGTGTGAATCGTGACATTTGCAGTTTTTCCATTTTCTAAAACGTCCTGGTGTTCTTCTGTCATCTAGTCTCACCCTTCCTGTTTAGGAACATTTTTGTCACCTTAGCGTGACATTAAATGCTTCATGTCTGTGAAAATTTGAAGGCTGTTTAAGAGGAAGAAATTACCTAAATGGTGTCTTTTATTTTGCCTGTAGGAAAAACGCAAAGCGGAAGAAGCCCTCAGTGACCTCCGACGTCAGTATGAAACAGAAGTAGGAGACCTACAGGTGACCATTAAAAAGTTAAAAAGGGTATGTATATGGCACATATATGTATATATATGTATAGTCTAGAAATAGCTTTAGTGTCTCACTGTGTTTAAGACATTGAAAATGAAAAACATTTAGAATTATTTTGAAGAGGAGAGAGAACGACTTTGCTAAGTCAGTTCAACTCCTTGAGAGACTCTTGTTTTTAAAGGCCCCTAGTTCTTCTAGTTCCTGGTCCATCTAACTTATAACATTAGAATAATAAAATCTTATGCTTGAACAGTTCATCAAACCTATTTCGTTAGTTTTCATTCACCAAGTGCTTTGAGTGGATCCCCTGTATCCAGAAGAAAGTGTGTTCCTTATCAAAGCTTATCTGACTAGATCAGGTGTCCCTGTATTCCTGTTATTTGATTAATTCAAATATTAAGTGAAATAAAAATTGTTTTTAAGTAGAAAGTTCCAGGTCTAGCAATAACCTGATCCATGAGAAGTAAAAAGAAATTGTGGAAACATGAGCAAAAGTGTGTTTGAGTACCGGTATTCTCTTTCTTGGTTCCAATGAACAGGAGTATTGTACTCTGAGATTTGCATGCACTTGTTAATAAGTGACTCTGGAGGGCAGCAGTGAGGCAGGGGAGTTTTGTAGCCCTTGCCAGCTTCAATGATGCAGATACTTGTAGTGTTACGTAGTGATATCATGCTATCAAATTGACATCTCCATATGAAGAAATAAACTCTCACCTGTCACTGTAAGATGATTCTATCCCCGAATTAAGCTCACATCTTACATGGTTGTTTCTATAAGTGGTGGAATAGCTCAAGTAAACAAAACTGAAAATTAAATATTTCAGTAGTATTGGAGGGCCATTAAGGGAAAGCCATTTCCTTCTGGTCAAGAGCATATAATCTATTTAACCTGTGTAGAAGCCTACCATTCCAGGCTACCCAAAACATAAGAGTTAATCCAACTAGGCCAGACAATGTTGTGGTTTAAGGAGTTACCCTTCAGGAAGATAAATTCACCTAAAGCTATCCTAAAGATATGGGAGGAATAATAATTAACTCTTTAATAAGATAATGCAGTTATCATTCCCAGAAATTCTTTCTTCTGTGCAGTTGCTTACTGAGTATAATTTAGGGAGCTTCCTTTACCCTACCCGCTTTTTAATTACTCAGAGAAGCATAGCTTTTCATTTTTTTTCTATTTCTGTTCAAGGCATGCTTTCCCCAATGGAGATTAAGTGCTTCTGGCTCTTTCTCTCAACTCCTCCCCACCACTGTTTTGGCCACGTGACTCTTGCCTACATTTTGGCTGAATCTGTCAGTCTTAACTCAAAGGGCATGCCTTTCTTTTCAACATCTTCCTCTCCTGGGCACCTGCCAAGATTAAAACTTACCTGTCTAAGATTTTTTTCCTTTAAATTACAGCAGAGTTGTCCTTTTGTTTTCTTTTGAGTGTTTTATTTAAATTCAATTGCTTTTTTGAGACTAAGACCCTCTTGAGAGGAGCCCAGTTTCCCCAGTAACATATGGAACCCACCTGAGGCTGCCCATAACATAGGCATCACTAGCAGCTCAGGAAAGTTAAGCTACAGTTAAGCTGTCGTTGTCACCCATGATCATCTCAATCTCTGGCAATGGCTGAGAATCATCTAGAAGCCCTCTATAAAATGTTTCTCTAAGATGATTTATGTGTAGTTTACCATCATATTGTGAATAGATTCCAGAATGATGTATCAGCTTATCCATCGAGTCTTCTAGTAATTGACTTCATTCATTTCTGTGAGTTTCCTTCTTACATTGCAAGGATGCTGACAGTGTGACCTGATGTAACATATGATGAGGTCCTAACAGTGAGAGGTCATAAGTGAGGATGATGAGGCCTGAATCTTCATTGAAATTATACCAACTTTTCCTTATAACACATAGAGGTGTTTTCTTAATATTTCTAATCTTTAGCTTGTCATTTAAAACATAGTTTTAATAATGAAGTATCCTGCCTAACCACATACTAAATATGAACTCATTTTTGAAGACTAAGTTCCAGGGAGGGCAAATGATTTGCTCAAAATTATAGAGCTGGTAAGCAATAGAGTCTGCGTTTCTTGCCTGTTCTAGACTTCTTGCCCACCTTCTATATTTGCTATATAAAACAGTAAAAATATTTATAGGAGAGGATGTAAAGGGCTCTTAAAAATGATAAAAATACTTTTAAGATCATTGTGACTGCCATTATTTTTAACAACTGATTGTATTAGGTTTTTTTCCTTCATAATTTCCTTCTGTGAAGTCATAATGCATTTCCCTTTTTACAAGAAGATGATAACTAATTTTAAGTTCAAGTTATACTACACAAGCTTAGTACCAAAAACAGAACAGAAGTGGAATATTGAAGGGCTCACATATCAATGGACTAAAGTACCTGGAAATAGATCCACAAAGCTATAGCCATCTGATTCTCATAAAGGCGCTAATCTGGAGAATCAACAGCCTTTCTTAGAAAGTGGTGCTAAGTAAATGAGCCCCAAGATCTGTCTCTTGTCCTATAGGAAAGGCAACTCAAATGGTATATGTAAAGAAGCAACCTAGCAGAAGCAAAGCCTGGAAAATGGGACAGTCTTCACCAGACAACAAACATAGTTAATATACATCTATCCATCACAATGAGTCATGTGCAAGTCATGTCACGTGATAGCTTCTGGCAAAATAGAGAATGCTCATAGTTAATGAACATGAGCACGATGAAACCTGGTAAAGATTGGCTAGTGCAGACGCCCTCTGTTTGAGGACATCTGCAAGGAACCTTTCATGGATCTGGGATGTTAACTTCTTTGTAGTCAGGTCTTTTTGTTTTGTTTGTGCTGCTAGAGTTTGAATGTAAGGTCTTACACATGCTAAGAAAATGTTATAATTTGGGTCGTTTTTTTTGACATTTCTTTTTGAGAAATCATCTTGATCTATTTCTCGTGATTTTGCATACCACCACATCTGACTCGTGGGAAAGTTATTTTTGTTTTAGACATTCTGAACTCTGGTATGAATGTATCAGTCAGCAAGGAGACCTCATGTATGCACACTTATAGTTTATTCTCTCTGTGCATATCTAGCTTTACATCATAATTATGTGCTTAGATATTAGTAATTTCAGTTATTATTATAAACAGTTTTAAATGCACTATGAAGAAAACAGGAGACTCTGACATTAACAATCCTCTTAATTGTTTTTTTTTTTAATTTCTAGCTGACTGTGGTAACGAACATCTTTCTTTCTAGCACCCATCTATATTACTGTCCTTGATAGATAGGATGGCCAGGTGTTGAAAGCCAGCCTCAGCAACTAAGAAAAATTGAGACCAGCCTATATGGTATTAGACTATCTCAAACAACAACAACAATAATAAAAACATTTACTCTAACAGAAGGCAAGACTATTACAAAGTAAAACAGAAAGTGTTAAGCATATAAGATGAAAAAGAATGCCCACAGTCTTTTAGCAAATAAAGAAAACAAGGATTAGGTTGTTTTATTATTGAGGGATTTCCAAAGGACTTTTGCAGTGTTTAGAAGCAAATACATTTAATAATAAAAGTCCTTCTGCAGTTTTTTGCATTATTTAAAAACAAATGTTTAAATATATATTTTATGTCATTTAGTTATTCAGAAAGTCATGAGATATTAAAAATTGAACACTGCTAGAATTCTCACATTCATATTCAAGAATATTTCTAATCATCACCAAAATGCTTCCGAATGAGTTTCAAATACCTAACTTTTGTTTGTTCTTTCAGCTCGAAGAACAGTCAAGACACATAACTCAAAAACAAGATGTGACAGCATTAAAGAAACAAATTTATGATTTAACAATGGTAAGAGTCATCCTTCACTGGAAGAAATGTATTTCCTGTTAGATAGTGTCTTCGTTACTTTCTATAAGTATGATAAAACACCATAACCAAAAGCAACTTGGGGAGGATAGTGTATTCCATCTTATAGTTCTAAAGAGACAGTCCATCGCCAGGGGAAGCCAGGGATGGAAGAGAAGCAAAAGCCAAGGGGGAACACTCCTTGTTGGTTTGTATCCATGGCTTTCTTTCTTACATAACCTAGGACCATGTGCCCAGGGATGTCACCAAGCACAGTGGGCCCATCCACATCAATCATTAATCAAGAAAATGCCCAAAGACTTGCCTACACCCAGTCTTATGGAGATGTTTTCTCAAATAAGATTTCCTCTTACCAAATGACTCTTTAACTTGTATCAAGATGATAAAAAACCAACCAACACATACAACACATGCACGTTTGTGGTATTTATTGTTTCTGTGATTCTGGGATAAAAGCTTAAAGACAAAACTGATATTAAAATTACAGAAAATATCTGAAATATATTGGAGTAGCTGTATTAAAAGAGGGGTTTTCTTTCAATTAAATACCACTTATTAATAGTTCTATTTTTAAAAGTTTATTTATTGAAAGTAATGCACACATGGTGTTGAGTGCTGTCTTACCGTGGTTAATGCCAAGCTTTTAGAAACATCTCTGCTTTTTTATTTTCTGGTCTTTTCTATGTGTTCCTGTTTTGTCTTGTTTTCTCTGTTACAAAGATCAATAACGCTTACCTCTGATAAGTAATCTTATTTAGTTTTATTTTAGATGACTCTCAAATATTAAATGTATTTTCCTTACTCTGGCTGTTGTGTAGCTTCCTATCTAGCCAGTTATCTTTTTCCCACTTAAGAGAGAATTTTCCTAGTCTCGCAGCCTCAGCCATTCCTAATATTGCTGTATCGTAGTTGCCCTTATATTTGGATCTTGACTTTCAGGAAGAATTGCTTGCTCTCTTGGATTTTCTGATTCTGTTCTTGGTTTCCTGTTTTAAAAGATTTCTTAGTTAGAGTTATTATTGCTGTGAGGAAATATCATGACCAAAAGTGACTTGGGAAGGTTTATTTCACACACTGTCCCATATAACATTTCATCAAGAACAGTGAGAGAAGGCACTCAAGCAGGGTGGGAACCTGGAAGCAGGATCTGATGCCGAGGTCATAGGGGAGTGCTGATTACTGGTTTGCTTCCTCTGTGGCCCTCAGCTTGCTTTACAAAATAGGGCTGGGCACTACAGCCCATGGGTAAGCCCACCCATAATGGTCTCTGCCCTCCCATATCAATCTCCAATTAAGAAAATGTCTGGATAGGCTTGCCTACAGCCAGATGCAGTTACTGTAGTTTCTGTAAAGTTGTTATAAACCTAGGCAGCACAAAGATATCCAACCATCTTTGTCTTGCCACCACTACTGTAAAATTCTTTATTTCCCTTGAAAATATTAATTTTGAAGGTCATGAAATGACACTTTTTATTGGATTGTTTTGATCTTGCTATACATACATACATATATATATATGAATACTTTTTTACTTCATTATAACTAATATTCCCTTGAATAAATGAACCTTGAGCGTCATTAGACTCAGTGTTTCTTGATTCTGGGAAAAATGAAACAGCACATAATATAGGTCTGACACGCTTATCTTTTCCTGTTCTTCAAATCTTCTTGTTCAAGGAACCAATTATTGATTCAACTATTGTACATTATTAAATTTAAAAAATTAAATTCTTAACATCATTCTTTATTTTTGTGTGTAGCATTTGTTACCAAACTATGATAGACAGGAGCTGGTCACTGTGCCTTTAATACGTTATTAGAGACAGACAGACAGACAGACAGACAGACAGACAGACACACACACACACACACACACACACACACACTTCCTTGCAAGTTTGTCTCATTGTCTAGGTGAGTATAGAAATTGTTTCTACATAAATTAGGCTAGTCTCACCAGATTCACCTGTCTCTGCTTCCTCTGTGTTGGGGTTAAAGACAAGTGCTATCATACCCAGCTCATTTTAATTTATTTTCCCTGACTCCTCCTTTAAAAATATTTATTTTTACTTTATGTATATGGGTGTTTTGCCTGGATATATGTCTCTTCACTGTATATGTGCCTGTTGTCTATAAAGGGATAAAGAGGCGATTGGATCTCCTGGAAGTTACTGATGGTTGTAAGTCACCATGTAGGTTCTGAGACTAGAACCCAGGTTCTCTGGAAGAACAAGTAACCTTTACTCTTGAACTACCTCTCTAGGCTCCTAGCTCCACTTCTCATTCTGTCTTCTGTTGTTTGACTGGGCTACTTGGCCTCTTCTGTGTTCTCCAGCAGGACCTGCTAAGCATTTTGTTTTAGAGTGCTGCCTTGGTGCATTTTATTATTGAAACTAAATACTGGAGGCAGGCTAACTTTGTAAGGAAAGGGTTTTATTTAGATCACGGTTGTAGCAATTCAAGAACATGGGGCAGCATCAGCTTGTCTTTGCTGAGAACCTTGTGGTAGACAGCTGGGGTATGGGCCAGAAGGGTAAACGGGAAACAGCAATTGACCTCCAAAGATCACTTCCATGGACAGCACCCTAACTGACCTAAGGAACAATCACCTTGCCTTACCTTCTAGAAGGTTCCATGCCACTTCTACACCTGGAAATTGGGGAAAAGCTTTGTGGTGGTTTGCCAATTGTCTTCTCCCCAACTCTCTCCTTTGGGTTGGCACACATCATCTAGTTTCCATTTTCTAGAAATGTGTTTAAGTCACTTGACTATTCATGGGCCCCTCTTCCATTCTGTTAACTGTAAATGGTTTGTTTCCATTGTAATTTCATATTTTTGAGGTTCTCTGGGAAGGGAAAATAGACTGTCTATTTGCACAGTCAACTATTTGAACTACAACTGTACAGTGATTTCTTTTTTAAAGAAAAATGTAAAATTTCATAGTTATCCATGTCTATTATTGATTACATTTTTAAACAGAAAAGTAATTATATGGTGGTGTTTATTATTAGAAGCAACCAGTGTAAGTAATTTTGGGAAGATGTTCATATATTTCATCTTGGTTAATTTTCCAATAACATGAGTGCATTATTATCAGTCCTTGTTTGTTATAGTTTGGGACAGATGTGAAGTACAAAATAAAAAAAACTTTAAACTTTGGTAGTGTATGATATTTGAGTATATAATTGGTTCCCTAAACTTGAAGATGTGAAGAACTGAAAAATAGGCAAGAGTTCGATTTTGTGGGGTTACACTATATATTACTTCTTTTGTCTAGAACCAAGAAACGCTGAGTCTAATGCTCATCCTGGTTCATTTTCTTTAGGAAAATCAAAAACTCAAGACAGAGCTTTTGGAAGCACAGACAAATGTAGCATTTCTTCAGAGTGAGCTAGATGCTTTGAAAAGTGATTATGCTGACCAGAGTCTGAATTCTGAACGGTATGAAACTATTCACAATAGAGGGTCATTCATTAAATTTGGTAAAAATTAATATATATATGTATATATATATTTCGAAAGATGGTACCTTTAGTGACAGATTTCCTTCTCTGTCTCTGTCTCTCTGTCTCTCTCTGCCTCCTTTCCCTCTCCCTCTCTCCCTCTCTCCCTCTCTCCCTCTCTCCCTCTCTCCCTCTCTCCCTCTCTCTCTTTCTCTCTCTCTCTCTCTCTCTCTCTCTCTCTCTCTCTCTCTCTCTCTCTCTCTGTATGCCTGTTAATCTCTTTAAAAGAGTAATTATTTCACTTATTTGCCTCTTAGGACAGCGCAGGGCTTAAAAAATGTTTGATTTAAGCGGCCATGGGAAGAAACTACTGTGTAATAACAATCTTCTGTTAAATCTGTTAAACATGCTTGACAGATAGGAATACTGACCTAAAACATAAGAATGAGAGTTATTAATTATTCAGTTCATTGGGTTTGAGGTGTTGGTATTAATGACTTAGAACCTCATATAGTGAAAGTCAGGCATTCTTACATAAGAGATACAGTTGTATGCGTATACACAGGTAAATTTGGGCATTTGGGGAAATATTTATTTTCAAACTTCAATCAGAATTACTCATTGTAGCATTAAATAATGCTACAACTTTTACTGGCTATGTTCTGTCTGGATCATTACAGACAACGCGTTGTGAGTTCAGCATATTTAAAATCAAAGAAACACATGCCTCTGTCCTTTAAAATTTTCAAGCTCCCTTGGGAAAGCCAAGACAAAAAGTTAAGCAGCATGCACTGAGGACCAGTAGTAATGCCATTAGCAGCATCACGGGTGGGTAACTGCCTTCTTCCAGCCTATGTTAAGGAGAGGAAAGGTCAGCTTGCGTTGAGTCAGGGAAAAGAGGACCCAGTGATGGAATTATTCACTGAAGCAAGTAGCATTGCCATCAACCAGTAACATCCGTGTTTTTATGCCTTCACCCACAGACTACCCTAACTCGCAGGTACCTTTGTTATCGTCAGTTCACTACAAATATTGTAGGTAAGGGGAAAATCAGAGAAACAACATATAAGAGACTGGTTTGGGGAGCAGTGATCAGACTGTTGGACAAAAAGATGGTTTAAATAGGAAACAAGCTTTTGCTGATAAGCTAGTTCATAGACATTATCAAAGGGCCAGAATTTTTTGCTAGGAAACTTAGATTGCTGTATGCAGTTGGGTTTTAACTCAGCAGCAAAGGACAGGTTTCTACGACTGAGGCTGGGTAGCTTGCAAGGAAGTAAGCTAGGGATGAGCTTGACTGTGCCTCATGCTCACGCCTGTTGTCTCTTCTCTCCTCACTGAAACATTACATATAATTTTGCAGGGATCTGGAAATAATCCGAGAGTATACAGAAGATCGCAGTAGTCTTGAGAGGCAAATTGAAATCCTCCAGTAAGTTCTCAGATGAAATGCTCATTGCATGTTAGCTAATGTTTATTAATAAAACATGTGCCACAGGTATCACAACCTGCCATGACCAGTGTTCAGGTCACTGTTTCTGGTCACTGAAGTATATTTGGCATGCCTGCTTCACTTTCTGACTCATCTGCCTGTAAATAAATTACTCCAGTGCAGTTCAGTTCTCAAGGTCCTTCCAGGTCTGTGTGGTGCCTCTGTAATGATGCAGCCTTCACCCTCATTGTTTTCTACCTCACATCTGGAGAGCTCCCAGGTCCTCACATGATGTGGCCATAGGATAGTGTTTGGCCATTCTTTTTCATTTTATACTGACTCTATAGCTTTTGTTTCTTTTTTAATAAACAATTTCCTAAGAATTTTTATCCTAATCTATCAACTTGACTACTAAGTTTTAGTAATTCCATCTTCTAAGGATCTTTGTTAAGAAACCTTGACATCCCCGCATTTGTTTCACTTACACAGTATAGTCTTTGTTTTTCAGTCTACTAAATGAAATAATGTTGGGCTCAGCAAATGTTTCCAGTTTTTATTGTTCATTGACTCTCTGCTGTGGCAACTGCGGAGGTCACTTTTTATATAGTGTTATTCATTCGCTCATTAACTCATTGGGTAGATTTCTCCGTTAATATCTTTCATGGCTGAGGTACCCTTGGAACTGAGGATAGGACACTGAGTAGCAAAAAATAATCTCTCTTTTTGTGAGTCTAGTCTAGGGAGGAAACTGGTTACTCATAGAAATAAATATGACGTACATTACTAAATGAGAGAAGCATAACCAGGGAAAAGTACGTGTCCCCCGTGAATAACTATGGAAGTTCAATAAAGTGCCCCTGGTGGAAGTGATACAAAACTTACTATGAAGGATGAAGTGCTTACAAACAAGAAAATCAGATGCTCCATGGGACAGGGGCTCCGTGATCCTCATTTCTTAGCCAAGGGAAGTGGATGATGAATGACTTTTATGCTATGCCATGAAGTAATTGCTGAAGTTCATGTTCACATCCCAATCAGTCTGAGGTCAGTGACCAAGTATATGATTGATACAGAAACCCCATCATGGTGGAAAGAGGATGTGATGCAGGAATCGTCAGCATGATGTAGCATGCTGCATCAGTGCCTGGGGCTGAGCTGTGTGAACAGGAGGACAGAGACCTGCACTAAGCCCACTGACACAGGAGTTATCTAAGGGAAGAGCGAGAGCCACAGCCTCGCAAATTTATTCTTAAGCTGCACCCAGACCATCAGGACGGAGAACTAATCAATTCAGTCATGGCACTTTGTATCTGTTTCCAATTCTGTTTCTGACTTTTAAATGGAGACAAGTTTATAAAAGTGTGACATATCTGTACATTACAAATAGCACTGCCTTAAGACAGAGTGGGAGCATTGGTCCCTTAGTACTTCCTGTTTCTTTTTGCTGACTTCTTTTCCTATACAGAACAGCTAACCGGAAGCTGCATGATAGTAATGATGGCCTCAGGAGTGCACTGGAAAACACTTACAGCAAACTCAACAGATCCTTGGTATGTGATGTCATCTTACAAGATGTTCTTTCTCTTGATCAAACATTTTGGCATAAGAAAACCATATGATGTTTTAGAATAACTTCATGTTGATCTTATAGTGAGACGCTTTTTATATATATGATAAGTTTTCTAAATTAAAGTTATGCTTTTCCCATTTGTAAAATTTAATGCAATGATGTTAACCAAACTCTTAAATTTTATATATGTATATATTTTATATTTATATTCTAAGAAGCTAGAGAAAGATGTGGAACATGTAATGTTTTAGCCTTGGAGGGTTTAATAATATAAGAGCTAGTTGGAAGGACAGCAAAATATAAGAAAAAGTGAAAAATCCTGTGGTCTTAATAACAAACAGTATTTTCAGTCAAGAGGAGGCCTCTATGCTTCTGGCTTGCTTATGTTCCCTATGTCACACTCTTTGAGAGAATGTAGACCTTGGGTTTTGGGTTTTAAACCCTCCAGTAAGAAAGAAGTTTCCCCAGATTGCATTTGTGATGAAGCCTCTCATTCCACTTTTGAGGCTCAGTTTTAGGCAGGAGTGTCTAGTGCCGTATTAGGATGCCAAATCATTACTCAACAAGATTTCCAAAACAAACAAATCCAAGGAAGCCAATGTTGTGGGGTCCTGGCATATCTGAGGAGCCAGCAGACTCTTGTGGAGACTGTAGTAGAGCCATGTCAGAGCTAAGGTTGTTCAGGAAGAGAAACCATGTCTGCTATCTTTGCTGAAACTTTCCAAATGATATTTTTCATGTTTATATTTGTTCATGTGGGTTCATTGACTTTTTATTTGTATTGGGAGTTAAATCAAGTGGGTTTGCATAAACATATATCTGTGGTATAGAAAATGCCTACATACTAAACAAGTATTGTGTGTTACAGCGTATAAATAACATATCACCAGGGAATACAATTAGTAGAAGCAGCCCCAAATTTAATCACCAGTCTTCTCAAGCACTGGCCTATGATAGGTATGTAGCACTTGCTTCTTTTCTTATCTGGGTTGTACATCAAGGTTGAATGTAAGAAAAATTAACTTAGAGCTGAATTAAAACAAAGGCATATGTTTAAATCATAAGTTACATTTATTATGATCTTACTTTAATGCTCAGAAATGTGAAAATGGTGAACTAGTAAGGTGAACTTCGGTGAAATTGAATTTTGTTTAGTAGTTGGGACTTTGAATGAGTGTAGGCTTTTCCTAATTGTCCCTCCTTACCCCCAAGGGGAAAATTTCCCAATATCCTGTCTTGAAAACAAATGAAACAAACAAACAAAGGGACTAACTAAATAGAAACGACTTACAATCTGGAAATAGGCAAACTATTCCAAACGTGGTTTAACTGTACTATAGTAAAAAAGCTCTTATGTTCTAGGGATATTTTATTAAAGTAGTGCAAGACTGTATCTGTATCTAGGGTCCTCTTTGTATCAGGAAATAGATCAATTAAAAGGATTAGGTGTGTGAGGTTTCTCATTTGAGGACTGTTGTCTTCATAGCTTATTGCAGAGAATGAACTCACTGCACTTTACACTTCCTCTCCATGCTATGGGGGCATCATGTATCTCCTGGCAAGCGACAGCGTTGTCAGTCTGTCCCTTTGTGCTCTTACCCACTGGGAACTCCTCGGTAACCTTGTCTCCTCTTTTCTCACAAGGTCATTCCATTCTTCATATGCAGATGAGGACTGTGACTCCTTGGCTCTCTGTGATCCTCTGCAGAAGATGAATTATGAAGTTGACAGCCTGCCTGAGAGTTGTTTTGACAGTGGGTTGTCTACTCTGAGAGACCCCAATGAGTGTGACTCTGAGGTGGACTATAAGCACCAGAGAGGATTTCAGAGTTTGCATGGAACACAGGAGAGCCTCGGGGGAGATGCATCAGACACAGATGTAAGCCAGAAATGTGGCACTCTGATACCTTCCTTTGACTAAAATCTTCCAGCATGTTTTATAAGAATCTGTCTTAACAGCACATAACTTAGGCTGTTATCACCATAAATGGATGCTTAGTCATTAGAATGGATTTTTTCCCCTACCAAATAGGGAAGAATTCTCAAAAGATTTGCCTTGAAGAGGTTTGTTTGTTCAATAATCACACTTATAGTAGAGTCAGCATTATAGCATTATGTTTTTTTTTTTAAATTTGGTCTGTGATGTATACTTGAGGGATTTTGTTCATAATTGTTGATTTTTTTGATAGGTTCCTGACATAAGGGATGAAGAAACATTTGATTCTGAAAGTGTGGCCTCAGTCTTACACGGGAAGCCACCAGGGTCTGTTGGTGAAGGCAGCATTGCTAGTTCCTCCAGAAAACCCATCTCGGCTCTTTCACCTCAAGTAGGTAGCTTTCAAGACTCTTCTGTTACTTAAGATGAAAAATGGGCCCTGTCGTCACCTATGTGACTATTTTCCCTGTAGACAGACATGGCGGACAATAACTCCAAAGCCACATCTCAGAAGGCTTACAAGATTGTGCTTGCTGGAGATGCTGCTGTGGGCAAGTCCAGCTTCCTCTTGAGACTCTGCAAGAATGAATTTCAGGGGAACACGAGTGCAACCCTAGGTATGACTCTTACTTCCATTGATAACAGGACAATTACCACTTCTAGCTTGATTTCTTTCCTTTCGGGATTATATACACAGTTTCACAGATTTAAAAATCTTATGTATTCATTCATGTACACAGACATTGTGTGTGTTTATGTGTATGCCCTTGTGGTAAAATAATCCTTTATTTTGACTAAAGACAGAAATAGAAGGGCGATGGGAATCTTTGTAGATAGTGAGATCAAACCATAGGAGAAACTGTCAGCCAGAGTATTGCCCTGCCCAGGTGCCCAGGCCAGCCAGCATGAGCATGTACAAGGCACTTCCTCCCTGAGCCAAGCCTGCCTCTACACCCAGAGACTGCTGACAAAGAGATACCTGATCAGAGACATCGATGAGAAAGGACAGCCATCTGAGTCATTAGGACCTTGGGAGGGGGTATAAAGGCAGGCCTAACTTCCTGTTACTCATTGACTCCCAGTGCCTGAGTCATGGGTGCTGCATCTTCTCAGCCCCCCTTCCCCCCACATGCCAAGGGGTGTCCAAGCAGGGTCACCTGCAATATCAAACAAACCCTGCCTAGACATAGTCGATTCTTTTTTCCATACATATTTTTAAATTTTTTAAAATTCATTTTACATACCAACCACAGTTTCCTCTTGCTGCCCTCCTCCTGCTCCCCACCCGTTCAGAAGCCACTCCCCAGAAAGTATAAGGCCTCCCATGGGAAGTCAACATAGCTTGGCACATCAAGTTGAGGCAGGACCAAGTCCCTCCCCCATGCATCAAGGTTGAGCAAGATATGCCATCATAGGTAAAGGGCTACAAAAACTGATCCCACTTCCAGGTGCCCCACAAACAGACCAAGTCACACAACTGCCACCCACATGCAAAAAGCCTAGTTAGGTTCCATATAGGCTCCCCAGTTGTTGGTCCAGAGTCCATGGTGTCCCATGAGCTCAGGTTAGCTGTCTCGGTGGGTTTCCCCTTCATGATCTTGACCCCCTGGTTCATAATTCCTCCTCCTCCCTTTGCCTGAACTCCTGAAGCTCTTCCCTGTGCTTGGCTGTGGATCTCTGTATATGCTTCGATCAGTTACTGGATAAAGGTTCTATGATAACAATTAGGGTATTCACTAATCTGGTTACAGGAGAAGGCCAGTTCAGGCATCCTCTCCACTATTGCTAAGAGTCTTAGCTGGGGTCATTCTTGTGGATTCCTGGGAATTTCCCCAGTGCCCGGTTTTTCCCTAACCCCATAATGGCTTCCTCTATGAAGATATCTCTTTTCTTGCTCTCCACTTCATCCCCCCTCCCCAGTTCAATCATCTCATGTTCTCATCCCCCACCCTCTCTTCTCTACTGCCCCTCCACCCCAAGTTTACCTAGATGATCTCATCTATTTCCCCTTCTTAGGGTGATCCATGTATCCCTCTTAGGTTCCTCCTTGTTACCTAGCTTCTCAGGAGCTCTGAATTATGTTCTGGTCATCCTTTGATTTACACTAGTATCCACTTATGAGTACTTTCAATTTCTGTGAAGAGTTGTATTGGAATATTAATAAGGATTGCATTTAATGCATAGATAACTTTTGGTAGAGTGACCTTTCTCACAATATTATTACCATCCATACATGAAAGTCAGAGGTATTTCCATTTTCTGATGCCTTCCTTAATTTCTTTCTTCAATATCTTAAAGTTTTTATTGTACAAATCTCTTAGTCTTTCACTTGTTTACTTAAAGTTGTCCCAAGATTTTTTCTTTAATTTTTGAGGTAATGGTGAAAGGTACTATTTTCCCTGATTTCTCTCTCAATCTGTTTTTCATTAGGATATAGGATATAGGCTACTGATGTGTGTGTGTGTGTGTGTGTGTGTCTGTGTGTCTGTGTGTGTGTATGTGTTTGTCTGTTAATTCTGTGTCTTGTTTCTTTGCTTCTTAGCTATATGAATTTCCTTGTGGAATCCTAAGGGTAATTTATATACTCTATCATAACAACTGCAATAAAGATGCTCTGACTTCTTTTCTTATTTGAATCTCCTTAAGTTGTATTAGATAAAAGTACTATATTAAAAGTCCTGTATTAAATGTATAAAAAGTTAGTGGACATCCTTGCTTGTTTCTGATTTTAGTGGAAATTCTTTGTCTTTTTCACTGTTCAGGATGTCAGTTTGATGTAAATTTCCATTATTATGTTGAGAAATGTCTCTTTTATCTCTAATCTCTCCAAGACTTTTACTCCAGGTAGAAGTATCATTTCAAAGGCTTTTTCTGCAGCAAATGAGATGATCATTTTGTTTTTTGAACCATCTTGAATCTTAGGGATGATGCCAACATAATCATGACGAGCAGCTAATCATTTTGCTGTGTTCTTGAATTCAGTTTGCAAGTATTTTCTTGAGAAGTTTTGCATTTAGGTTCACAGTAGATAATGATGTATTTCAGTCTGAAGAGGGTAACTACACCCAAGAGATCAACTGAATAAATGTTCCCTGAACAGTATATCAAGGTAGAAGAGGGGAGACGTGCAGCACTTCTCAACAGATATAAGAAAATTTTAATAACATCTTTCATCCTCTCTGACCATCATGTCGTAAAGTTGAATACTCACAATGATAGTAACAGCAGAATGTACACAAACTGATGGAAACTCAACAAATCAGAATTGAATGAAAAATTGAATGAAGACATAAATCAAGAGAGAAAGACTTTAGAATTGAATGAAAATAAACACACAACATACCTAAATCTCTGGGACATGATAAAGGGGTTCTGAATATTATTTGTTTTCCTTTGTCATCTAAAGAGTTACTTAGACAATCAGAAATGATAAAGAAAATTGGTTCCCTTCACCACACTGGGCATATCTGTAAATTTATAGTTCCCTGATAAACACCTCAAGAAAACAAACCTGGAAGTTCACTTCAATTTGGTTCATTAAAGAACCGAAGTAGTGCTTTGCTTACTAGAGAACATGACACACATATGCATGTGTGCTTGTGTGTCTTGTGTGTGTGATAAACAAATCCATCTGAACACACACACGAACACACAAATATACATGTGTATGTGGGTGTAATAGTCATATGTGAGCATCCATGTGCATATACATGTAATGTCATATGCATATATATACTTATGTTACATAAACAGCATGTATATACTATATATATGTATGTATATATATACATGTACATACACATACATTCTTACAGTTTTGCATGCACATGGCATATAGGACTGAATTCAGTCATCTAGGAAAAAAGAACTGAACTTACTTTATTCCATAGAGTCAGGTGTACCTTAGGTCAGCAAGGCTGCAGATAGTGCATCCATATTTATCTACATAAGTGAATTGACTTATTTGAAGCTTATTCTTTGATGTCCAAGTGCATTTTTTTCTACTTTGGCTTCGGCCAAAACTTGCAGAATTATCTGTGGGATTTCTATTTCAGGAGTTGATTTCCAGATGAAAACACTGATTGTAGATGGTGAACGAACAGTTCTTCAGCTCTGGGATACAGCTGGCCAAGAGAGGCAAGTGCTTTTCATAGTGTTTTGGATTAAGGAATACAAATGCAAGCCTCATAGGGTTGGCTATACTATTTATATTCATCATATACCACTGTACTTTAAGATACTGCATTTGTACTTATAAGGTATGTGTAATCCCCAAAAAGCTCACCTTCCCAACATCTCCTCCCATACATTTGCATCATTTGTATGAAAAGAGGATCTTTGAGCTTCTTTTGAGCTGATGCTTGGTTGTGTCAGTACACTTTGCTGTGGAGAGAAGGCAACACTTCTGAATGCAGTGTCACTGTGAGGGGTACTTAGTTTTGAAGTGGTACACGATGGGTAAAGAGACTCTATCAAATAACCTTGATTGAAGGGCAACAGCAAAGAAAAGTAGCAGATATACTTCTGGTGATTCCATATGTTAGTGCTCTTGACAATGACCAGAAATATGAAGCATAAATTTGAATTTTATCTAGCTCTCTGTGGGTAAAAATTTACTCAAGTATGCAGTGACATGAGGTCCTGGGTCCGTAGTATTCATTGCACTAAGATTCAGTGATGACCATGGAGACACAGTCTGCCCTTGGTCACTGCAAATATTACCTCATTGCTTTCCCCTCTTTTGGTCTTGGAGATTAGGCCACGGGCAAGAAACAGCATACATAGCATACATCCACTTTCCTCTGTACCTACTTCTTAATATCTTAATATCTCTTTTCATTTAAAAAACAAGCAAGCAAGCAAGCAAACAAACAAACAAACAAACACAAAGACCTACTCCTGCCTCTTAGAATAAAATTCTCCAGAAAACTGGGAGTTCCACCATTTGTGTCTTTGCATATATATATGTATATATGCAAATTATATATATAATATATGTGTGTATATATGCATATATATATTATATATATATGCAAAAGGACGCATGTGCCTGTGAAGGGCATAGGCCAATATCAGATGTCTTTTCAGTCACTCACTGCCTTGTTTTTGAGACAGGTATTTCCATATGTTTGTTTGCTGGTTTCTGGGATTGAACTTGTTTTCATTGTACTTTCACCATTGTTGGGACTAAAGTTTGAGGTTAGGATGCAGTCTTGGAATTATCTGATGGAGAAAAGGATGAGTTTTCTCAATGATCACTAGACCTCTCTTAAAGAAGCTTATCAGTAGTGTTTGCTGCTAAGACTTTTATTTGTCGGAACTGGTCATAGAAAGTAAAAGCTGAAGGGCATAATAGAGATGAAGTGTAAGGCAAGGACCAGATGACAGGTTGATGATGAGCTTTTGCTTTGTCTTTTCCAGATTCAGAAGTATTGCCAAATCTTACTTTAGAAAAGCAGATGGTGTCTTACTGCTGTATGATGTTACTTGTGAAAAAAGCTTTCTTAATGTACGGGAATGGGTGGATATGGTTGAGGTAAGGACTATAATGAAGGAATTGAAAACTATGGGAGGGAGTCATGGACTGTCTTAAGAAATGCCATTTTTATTTTTTTTCTGGGGTGAACATGATTAGGAGCCACTGATCTGTGCTGTCAGGAAGATTGACAGTTTCCAGTGCAATTGGCAGCCTTGTCTCTTCCCAGGATCATTTCTCAAATCGAAGATACTTCTGCAAGTAGCTCCTGGAAACAACTTCTCGATTCTATGCTAGATAAAACATAGGAAACTTGTATAATGAAATGGAAACACGGGTAGCCACAAAAGCAATTTTTGCCAATATGATAGTGTTTGCATGGCATGTACAGTGTGGCAGGAATTTTAGAAACAGCTGAGACAAGTTAAACTTATTTTAGTTGTGATGTAGGAATATTTACATATCACAAGATGGCTTGGAAACATGAATTTGAACTTTTGACATGTGGCGTGGGTGACATCTATGTTAAGATGTTCATATCTCCACTTAAGGGTCTCTCATATTATTTGGTTTCACAGTCAGAATTTTTAAAAGTACTGGGTTTGCTGCCAGTTGTTACCAACAAGCATAAAAACAACAGGGTACTCTCTAGAAAATATAAACTACTGGTAAATATAGCTTCCCAAGTAAATAATATCATCTGTATTTTAAACATATTGTTACAGATGTGACTAAACAACTAGTGTTGTCTGATCTTAAGTGTGCCTGTGGATTAAATGTTTGCTTCGTGACTACAGACTTTATTGGAAAAGATGCTGTGTCATTGGAATAATTATTTGATGGTAAAATATAAATATACCTTGTCTTACCAAAGCACAATATCTTTTTTTGTTGTTTGTTTTTTACGAGACAGGGTTTTTCTGTATTGTTTTCGAGGCAGTCGGACCAGCCCGGCCTCGAACTCATAGATATCCACCTACCTCTGCCTCCTGAGTGCTGGGATTAAAGGTGTGTGCCACCCCCGCCCGGCCAAAGCACAATATCTTAAAGTCACTATAAATGAAATTAAAATTATTCACATTTCTGTAATATTTACCTGATAAAATTACTCATATATTACCTTTACTTCTCTAACATTCAAAAATAAGAGAGAAAAAAGTGATTTTTTTTTTTTACATATTGTGAGACCCCTAGAGTATAGAAAGCGTATGGAACTTGCTTGTGTTCACAATACTACTATGTAGGGATAGAATGGAGTCATAACCTCTTGACTCAACATTGTTCATTACTTTGGTAAAGTTGATTAGTGAGTTACAAATGAATAGCAGTTGCTTTGAAACTAAAGGAGGAACCCTAAGGAGCTTGTCTCTGCGAGAGAGCCTTCTACTATGGAATAGAACTCAGTGGGCTGTAACCCTGAGTCCTGTGTCAAACATCTTATCATTAATATTTGGGGCTTAGTCTCCATTTTCAGGCATTATGTATGCTACAAAAAATGCCCAGAAAATGGCAATTCAAAAGGCAAGGTCAACTGATGAGGAAAATGTCCTTACATTAAGTGAGGCACTGCAGATGCATTTTACGAGTGAACTTTTCAGCCAACCATATCACTTTCTCATGGGATCAGAAAACTGCATGCAAGATGATTTCTTGGAGTTCTTATGAGGGAGAAAGTAGGTGTCACATTACATTTGAATTTCACTATAGAAAAATACTAGCTAGAAAGAGACTTCCCCATGGCTCTTTCCAAGATGAGGCACTGAAATTACACAGTCCCTATTAACTGGCTTACAAAGAGTGGCACCATTGCTAGTGGCAGACATGGAGATGACAGTAAGCTAAGGAAAATTTACATCAAGGAAATGGTATACAGGAAGTGGCAGGTATTACAGAAGAGTAAGGAAGGGGGAAGGCTTATGATGAGGCGGAAGGACCAAGGGGTCCTCATAGAGAAAGTAGTGTTTAAGTCTGTACTTCAAGGGAGGCTACATTCTATTTGCCATACTTTAGAAGTCAGCTAGACACTCGGCTACTTGGCTAGTGTGATTATTTGTTTGTCTTCACCATGAATCCTGAAGAGATCACCAAAGAACATAGCTCATGAGCATCTGAATGTGTGGGACAAGCACCGAGGAGGCCTGTGTGCTCCTTGCTCCTCTTTGCATTAAGTGCACTTTTATGCCTTAAGTCAAAGGCAAATGCTAAATATAGTCTCATGTTTGTCCTTATGTCTTGGCCCTGTATGAGGAACATCTCAAACTGAATGAGTGTGCCATATAAACACTTCAAAGTTTAACTTCCAAGTGTTTGTTGTGGGATGGCCACTTATCCTAGCCAGGAACCAGAAACGTATGTTTCTGTTCTGTCACACATATCACATCTGTTATTTACATCACAGCTTTACAAAGTGAAATATTCCCTTTGAGATTCTTAATCCAGACATGGGCTCCTGGTCGCACTAGGGATTCTAAGATCCTATAGAAGTCTGTAGACATTAATTGGGTGGTTTTGGAATCTACAACTTAAGAAGATTGGTATTTAGGATTTGCCTATTTAGCTTTGTTGTAAACTAGTGATTATGAGCCTACACCCTAGTTTTGTACTAGTAAAAATAACGAGTGATCTATACTTTGCATCTGACATGCAGCAGTTGATGAAGGATGAACATTGTTTTAAGGAGAAGCTGTTACCCAGCATCCTGTGGACATTCCAACTGAACAGAATTTTGTGGTCATGTCACTGGGTTGAGTAGTGATTGTAGTACACTGTAAACAGTATAGACAGATGACTAGTCTCATACCCTTCACCTTCTTTATTATCTAAGAATGAAACATTGTCTATGTGGGGCAATACAGTAATTTTAGACCCCAGGCTTCAGCTTTACATGTTCTTACTTCAATTATCTAAATCTCAGACTTCTCACTTGCAAATGCAGAAGAAGGGTGATTGTACTTCAAGACATGTTGATTTTTAAAAACTAGTATCTTAAATGTAAGTAATTTAATTGTTGCAATTATCACTAAGACATTGTAGTATGAATAAGGAAAACACAGAGACAGATACTGGGGTTCAAGTTGAAGCTCCTAAAAGCAAAGCAGCCAAGCCACTAGAGAGTTTTTACTCTTCTAAGGCTAAGACCAAAGAGAGGAGATCCTGTCCTCAGTGTGCCTGCAGAGACTGCAATGCTCTCCACCAAACCTCAGACTGAACTGAGTTCCCCTGCCTTATACTCTTCTCTAGTGCTGGGATCAAAGCTGTGAGATCTCTTTCTTTTAGACTGATTCACTCCCATGTAGCCCAGGATAGCCTTGAACTCACAGAGACCCATCTGCCTCTTTCTCCTGAGTCCTGGGAGTAAAGGTGTGGACACCACTGCCCGTCCTCTATGGCTTAGGTGTGTGGTTAACTAGTGGCTTAGAATGCATGTGGCTAACTAGTGGCTTAGCTCTTCATTCTGATCTTCAGGCAAGGTTTATTTGTTAGATGACAAAGAATCACTATAGACACAGAATGGAAACAGCTGTGTATTCTATTCTACACCTATAAATGATTATGAATACTAAATTTGTCACCTTTAGAAAACTGGACAATGGCAGCAACTGGTACCATTGTCACAGCACTATAGTTGGTTCAGAGTTTAATGTTATATCTACTTCTTTTCCTTCCTGGTAGGATGGAGCCCACAGAACTGTTCCTATCATGTTAGTAGGAAACAAGGCTGATCTTCGTGATGCTGCTAATGCAGAGAAACAAAAGTGTATCTCAGCGTATCTTGGAGAAAAACTGGCCATGGTAAGAATGGGGGGTATCCAAAATGAGGCAATATTGTGGTAGGCCATTGTTCTCAGAATTGGGGGCAGTCCTTATCCTGGGTACTTCTCTGTGCTGACACAGTCCTCGCCCTGTGTTGTACCTCACTCTGTATTGCACACTGTGTTGGAGACAGTCCTTGTGCCTGTGTAGTTCATTGTTTTCTATACAACCCTTACTCCTGTGTACTTTACTGTGCTGGACATATTCTTCACCTCTACGTCTTACACTTTCTTAGAGATAAATTCTTACCTTTAGTAGTTTAGTGTTACACACAGACCTCACATTGTGCAGTTGGCTCTTTTGGGGATAGTTCATATCTCTTTACTTCACTGAGTTGAGAGAGTTATCCTCTCCTCTCTAGTTCCTTGTATTTCCCCTGTGTAGTTCATTGTGTTGAGGATGTTTTGTTTTTGTTTTTAGCCCTGTGTTGTTAACAGGTTTGGACACAGAACTTATCACTATGTAGTTCATTGTATTGGAGACATTTCTCCCCTTGTTTATTGCACGTTTTGGAAACAGTCCTCATCCATGTTTTGTAGTTTACTATGGTGGACACAGTTCATATCCCTGTGTTGAAGACTTTCTGCAGCTTGTGTAGTTCCTGTGTTGAAGACAATCTTTACTCCTATTTGTTTCAGTGTTTTGGAGGCATTCTCCATCCTGCATAGTTGACTGTGTTATGAACCATCCTTATCTTGTGTTGAACCAGTCCTTACTTTGAATAAATGACTGTGTTTGATACAGTCCTCAGCCTGTGTATTAATATACAGTAGTGGAAAACAGTATCCAACACAGTGTGTTGGACCCTATGTCTTACCCTTGTCTTATACTTTGTTGGAGATAGTTTTCACCTTGAGTACTTGCCTGTGTTACACACAGCCCTCACATTGTGTGGTTGGCTGTTTTAGGGACAGTTCCTACCTGTCTATTTTATACTTTACTCCTTGTAGTTCACTATGTTGTACTTTTCACCACTGTGTATACACTGTGTTAAAGATTGAGTCTGTAGCTGATGGTGTTGGACACCGTCCTCATCCTGTGTAGTTGAATGTTTCTGGGGCAGTTCTCATTTTGTGTAGTTCATTGTGTTGAAGATAGTCCTGCTCCCTCTCTTCAGTGTGGCTGGAGAATCCTGAGACTGACTACTGAAGACCCTGCTCCTATCTTTTATACGTCTCTAGATCTGGGATTGAAGAAATGAGCTCTGTTACTATTTTAGACTGATTCAATCTCATGTAGCCCTGGGGGTCCTTGTGTCAGAGAGATCCATCTGTCTTTGTCTCCTGAGTCCTGGGATTAAAGGTGTGTACCATCACTGCCTGACTTCTATGGCTAACTAGTGTGGCTGCTTTGCTATTTTGATCTCCAGCGGCTTTAACAAATCATAAACAATGTATCACCACAGAAGCTGAGGTGAGATAGGCAACCTAGCTATTAGAAAGAGCAAGTGTAAACATCTTGATCAGGTGGAATTTAGGACCCTGAAGAAATACAGGGAAGGGCCAGGTACCTGGAGATTTATGGAGTAAAGATAGGATGTAAGGTAAAGCAGGAAGATTACCTCAATGTGACGTTAAGCAGGGTGTGGTTGTCTGTGGAAAAGCATTTGAGCATTACCTCAGAAAGGATGAAAATCATTTCAAGGGTAGAAGCAGGGGAGCAATACAAGCAACTATGCAAGGGCAGCCAATGGTGGTTGTCTATGCACTGGAACATTTCACTTCAGCAACACAGGAGCTCTGTACTCTGATGGGAGAAGCCGAGAGCATAGGAGGAAGCCTTAGCCATGGGACCATGCACACACTCCCTCCCACCCACTGAGGGTCTTGCTATATAGTCAAGGCTTTCGTAGGACTTACAAGTGCCCTGATACTACAAACATGTTTTATAGATATATAATTCCTAAGTGGGTACCTTAAACTATTATTTTCATCTGCCTCAAATTATTTGAAGATAATATGTGGTATTATGTGCTTGATTACTATAAATGGAATTTTGTATTTTTTAAATATAAAATGAAAATCTTCTGATGAGGAACTATTCCTAGTATTACTGTGTTTACTCTGGTTTGTTTTGTTTGCTTCTTTAGAGTGGGGACTCATGTAACAGGCTGAATTTGAAAGTTTGCTTCCAGCTGTTTAGTGCTGATATTCTGGGCACACTTCACTACACCTGGACAGTCAGAATGGTTTTGTTTCTGTTGTTGTTTATAAGCCTTGAAACTCTGATTTTACTTTTCTTAGTTGTCACTCTTACCATTCTCTCTCTCTCTCTCTCTCCGTCTCTGTCTCTGACTCTCTCTCTTTATATATATATATATACACATACATATGTACACACACATACACATATATATCTACATACAGACATATAGACATACACACACACAGTTGTTTTTCTAAGCAGGGTAGCCTTGGCTGTCCTGAAACTCACTCTGCATACCAGGCTGGCCTCAAACTCTGAGATTAACCTGCTATTGCCTCCAAAGTGCTGGGACTAAAGGTGTGTGCTACCATATTTGGCTAGGAAAAATGTTTTTAATTTAATAACTTAAACATCAGGAAATCTAATCAAAGCCTTCACTGAATTGTATTTAATTTTTTCCTACAGACCTATGGGGCATTATTCTGTGAAACAAGTGCCAAAGATGGCTCCAATGTGGTTGAAGCTGTTCTCCATCTTGCTCGGTAAAGTTGGCTTGTGTTTAGAAAAATCAAATTTTCACTTACCTAATGGATATGCCAAATTCTCTCATCATAGTTAGAATATCATCATAGTTAGAATATCTGCTGCAGAACATAATTTTGTCTTTCATGGTAAGGAAAGCAGTACATGTATCTATTATAAAGTCTAATAATTCTGTTTGTTTATTGTGGACAATGACTAAATATTTTTACTACCAAACAAAAGAGATGTAGCTGAAGAATTTTTGAACATTTTTCAAAGTATCACTATGAAATATAATAGTTGACTTATAGTATCATCTCCAGAAAAAAATTTAAGCATAATAGGTTATTATTAACATAACTGTCTACTATGAAATTTTGCTGGTCAAATAGGGTATACAGAACAACAACAACAAAAAAGCAAATTGCATATCATACCAGTTAGAATAATTGTCTGAAATGCTCACTTTGTAATTATTAAAAGAGGACAGTGGTGTGGAGAATACATAGCATTTCACACATGGATTAGAATAAAATTCATCTCTAGAAGATTTGCATAAAAACATGCATGTCAGTTCTTCAAGTATTGCTGGACATGACAGAACTATCTCCCTGATTTTTATTTTCTGTGTGGTTGTTTCTTGGTTACAGTTTTCTTAACTTGACACAAACTATCACCACTTGAATAGGGAGAACCTCAACTGAGACAGTACTCCAACCAGATTGGTCTGTGGGCAAACCTCTGGGCCATTTTCTTTCTTAGTGTTTGATTTGGTACCACTGTGCATGCTACCACCCCTGGCCATTTGGCTCCCCTGGCCATGTGGTCCTGGGTTATATAAGGAAGCAAGCTGAGCAAGCCCATGAGGGGAAACCACTGGTATCTGCTTCCATTTCTGCCTCCGGGTCACTGTCCTGTCTCCCTGACGGTCTGTGGTGTGGAACTACAAGTTCAAATACATTCTTTCCTCCTCAGGTTCCTTTTGGTCATGCTGATTTATCACAGTGATAGTAACCCCAAGATAGAAATCTGTACCAAAGGGTGGATTAGTGCTAGGACAAATCTAACCACATTGTTTTGGGGCGGATCGTGAAAGGACTGTGGAACTGAACTTTAGGCTGGAAAAACCTTTGATATTCAAAACTTAATGAGCTATTCTGTGGGAGTCTGGAAGAGAAAATTGAGAAATATGAAAAAAATACAAGGGATAGGGGCTTGGTTTATAGTTTCATAGGGAAATTTTGGAGTTCTTCAGACTTTATTGGGACTCTTCATGTGATATTTTGAAGTGAGAATGTGTAGTTCTTGTCAGCTGGGACTGAATCAGCTGTGTTTGAGAGGAGACCAGAAGCACTCAAATGGAACCTTCTCTTTTCTGACGCTATCAACAATGGTCATCTGGAGCTGATAAATTAGTGATGGCTAATAAGAGACAAGTACTATTAAGGTGAAATCCTTTTATTTGTTCAGGGTCAGCACACAAAGCTCTGATCTATAGTTGGGGTGAGGTTGTATTTCACACTGTCAGCCAAACTTGGTGATGTCTCCAGGTGGTACTGGTTTCTAAGGCATGAAAGGGTCATGGAGAGTAGTGGAGGTTTGCAGTTGTGAGAGGCCAAGTGAGGACATTGTGAAGATGCACTCTCAGTTGCAGTAGAATCCCCAGGATGGAAGGGGTCAAGGAAAGAAATTGAAGTTTGGTACCTTGTGGCGGGGCAAAGTCCCTGAAGGAAGTCCAGGAAGTCTGTTGATGAAAATACAGCCCAGGTGCCACAGAGACTCAGCATTTGGAGATGCTAGTACCATGGGATGGCCATCCAAGGCAGAAGCAGCTTCAGCCTGTAGCTGGCCTTAGACTCAGAGTCCCACTGTGTATGCGATAGAGGGTAGACTGGGCCCATGCCTTTGAGGCCCAGATAAATGGGTCTTATAAATAAAGCACTGAATTTTTCATACTGTTGAACTGTGGTTTTGCTTGATCTGATTGTGACTGCCCTGGCTCTTCCATGTTGGAGTAGGAAACTATGTTAATTCGCTTTTAGTTTACAGGATACCACAGTTAAGAGACTTTAGAACGTAAAGAGACTTTGGGTGTTTTAGGGAAACTTTGAAATTTATGTTAGAGAGACTTAACTTTAGAAGCGTTTAAATTTAAAGATTTCAGAATTTTAAAAGTTGGAATGTTTTCTATTGTGATACTAACATTGAGATCCTGGAGATGAACAAAAAATGAAAGGTTATGATTTAATAGTAGTGTTTGTGTTTCAAGTTAACAATGGGTTAGCCGTCCCCACCTTACACATGGTGATGGCTTTTTATAACAGCAATAGAAACCTTAACTAAGACAGTCTGCCGTTGATGGAAGCATGATTCATTGCAATAATAAAGGAATTATGTATCTACTTAAAGGGGACAATGTTCTCTAATCACAGAAAAACATACTATCTCAAGATGAAGTGCTCTAGGCAGTCAGTGGCTTTTGTTTAATGGTAGAATTATCAAGACTTTGTGTTTAGAAACTGTTAATTTTATATTGTCCCTATAATTAATCTCCACAGGGAAGCAAACAGGACATTTACTTTTGTTATAATCCTTTTCTCTCATCTTCTAGGGAAGTGAAGAAAAGGTCAGAGGATGATGACAGCAGATCCATTACCAGTCTAGCTGGGTCCACGTCCAGAAAGTCACTGCAAATGAAGAACTGTTGCAACGGCTAAACCCCAACTGTCTTCAGTTCCTAAAGTCCTTGTTTCTACAACACTGACTGTGGGACACTGTTTCTCAATGGAGTGTGTGTCATACAACGCTGGCCTATGAAGAAACACAACCTGAGCTGTGCTTCCATTCTCAGAAACCTCAGGCTTTCTCTGTTTTTTCTTAGTGAGCTATTTGGGATGTTTGACCCATGTAAATCACTAAGAAAAAAAAGTGTGAATGTTTTTGATATGATATGGTAAAATAAAATTATGTTCTCAGATCAAAACTATTTAGAGCCCACTGATAAAGTTGCTTCATAAGAAAACTGACTTTGTAGTTAACCTGTGGCAGTGTTTACTTAAAATTTAGAAACAAGAGCATAATACTTTGTTTTATGCAATACAGTGCTTTTGTATTAAAGAACAATGAGACTGGCAGTATATTATGTATTACAGCTTTAAACCATGGGTGGTATAAGATGGCATGGTTATTTTCATTTGGTAAATCAGCTTTGTGGCTCCTTAGCCCGATAATGTTGGGCAGTCCAGGCAACATTATATCTCTTCCCCTCTGCAAAATAAGGAAGTTAGCCTCCAGTGCCTCTTGGATTCTGGTACTTTTTAAGGAGCATGAAGGGCACAGTGATTCATAGTAACTGAGGACCCTGTGAGGCATAACTTTTGTTACTAAGGTATTGGTTTGTTAAAGTTCTGAAGTAAGAATAGAATTTGAGGAAATGGGAATATTTTAGACTCCCATTATATAAAAAATATTTTTTTGAAGACAGAAGGTGTGCTTGAAGAAATGCATATTTTAAGAGAACACAATTTCAGGAGTACTTGTGAAATCTGTGGTTTAAGTTGTATGTGAAAATTTTAGTGAAGATGTGTATAACACATTCTACAATACCACAAAACTATATTATACCTAATGGTTGCCAGATGCTGAGGGGACTTAGCACTAACGGTCAGTGGGGGCATGTGCCTTCTTAGGAGAATGGACACAATCTACTGAAATTAGTTTCCAGTAGTAGTAGAATAATTTTGAATTTGGTGAAAGCCACCAAACTTTTGATTTGGAAAGGATAAGTTTTATGAATGTGAGTATGTCTCAGAAAATAGAGTGGTGCCGAAAGTAACTTAATATTTTAACAAAAGCATATATTGTTGCTATTTCACATTGACCTGTGATTTAGAGCATTACCTGTAGCATAATGCCAATTCCTCAGCTCCTAACTTCAAGTGTTAGCTTCCTCCTTAATGAACAATGGGAGATTGTTATTAGGCATAGCTTTAGAAAGTACCGTATTTAGAAGAAGTTTGCCTTTAAAATGGTGAATCTGTCTTTTAGATAATGTGACTTATGACTACTCAATGCCTCCCACTCCTCCCGACCAAAATGTCTTTAAGGAGCAAAGGCCTCATTATGTGATCCAGGATCGGCCAGCAAAAACAGGTTTCCCGTAGCCTGAACCAATTAGATTATTCTTGGCAAGAGACTTAAATATCTTGATTGATACAGATCTAGGCTTTGAATACTTACCTAGAACATAAATAATACTGGTTACTTATATAAATTGTATTATATATGTCCTAACATTTCTTTTTGATGAATTAAAACAATTCTTTGGGCTGGCAAGGTGTCTCACAAAGTAAAAGTTCTTGTTGTCCAAGCTTCCCAACCCAAACTCCGTGTATGAACTTGCAGTGGAAGGAGAGAATGGACTCCCAAATGTGGTTCCCTGACCTTCACACATAGGCCATACTGGCCAGGTGATACATGTACACACGTACAAAGGGCAGTAAATACTTCTTTTTAAATGATACTTCCTTTTAACAATGCCTTTTGTGCTTTTGATTTTTGTTATCAAACTTGAAATTTCTTGTGCTTCATTTTTTTTTTTCCTAACTGAGAATTGAATTGTTACAGTTATACACAAAAGTCAAGTGCCTTATCCCAACTGAAGGTTTCTGGGATTGAAGCAAGAAAACTGAATCTTCAGTAACTCAGTACGAATGGCTACTTTATGTCTAATGGTTTGCAGCCCCAGTTAATAAAGAATACTTTGTGAGAAATTGACACAGATGTCAGGGAAGAGTAGTGATGAGTTTTGTAACTTGTGGCACAGTTAAAAGTTTGCCATTAGTGTTTGCCTTACAAAATGGAGATCCCAGACAAGGCTGACTCTTACATATTAATAGATGGCACATGTGTGGTACTCATGGAATAGACTGTTAGCATGCATGTTACCATGTTCTCATGTCATTTTCCTCATTTGTTGTTTTGTCCTCTACACTCTGTTAAAACACAACAAAACAAAACCAAAAACGTGTATTGTTAATGCAGAAGTTCTGTGGGGGTTTTGCCTCTAGTTGTGGGGTCAGAATAGCTGTGTTGACCAGAAAGTTGTCTAAGTAACTTGAATGACAAGCTAACATTTTCAGTGATCTGAATATAAAATATTCAAATTAGAGGTTTCTATCTCTGCTTAAGAAAAAGCTAATTAAAACTATTTTTATCTGACTTGCTGGTAGACTATATTTTGATTTCTCAAAAGTGCCCCTTAATTTAAAGAATATTTTAAATAAGGAAAAATAATGTTTTCAGTTTCAGCTTACTTTGATATGTTCACACCTTTCTTTTGCTAAAGCTTACGTTGATATCTTCACACATTTCTTTCAAGTAACTGATCTTGCATCCATTTTTCCTTAGACAACTTTTAAAATCACAATGATGCTATATACACCTTTTAAATGCACTTTAATACATTGGATAATATTTTAATTTCATTATGGAAAATAATATTGGAAAGTAGGCATTTTTCACTGTTACCTTTTAGGCCTGTTCATTTTCATAATTTATTTTTCTACTTTTTGCTTTATATGATATTATATAACATTTGATTATTTAATACTAGGTGCAATTTGAATGAATACAGACTGTCCTCCCTCCTCTAAAGTTGAGGTTAAGGGTAAAGATTTATTTTCATATTTATATAGTGACTAGCCTCAGAATATTGTTTTTTAACCTTTTGTTGTATATATGTGTAAGAAATTATGTACATATTTGGCAAATAAGCATCTGAGAACTGAGTCACTGTTATATGATTTATATGGTTTATATTTTTCAAAGTTTGAGCTGTTTATATATTTTCAAACCATTGATAATGGTATGACAAAGTATGATTGAATAGTCATGCAAACATCTGAGAAACTATAAAATATGTGTCTTGTAAATGCAATAAAGTGTTCTTATTTTGGCCCTGAGCTTTGCTGTGGGTATTGTGAAGCAGCTGATTCCACAGTGTCTGAAGGAGACACTTCTTCGGCAGCAGCAGAACTGCCATTCTTGCAGTGGGAGAAACAATGAATGAGTGTGTGGCAGTTGGTGCTTCTGTAGAGGGCAGCATGGAGTCCATTGATGATGCTAGGAGACCAGTAGCGGGACTTTTGCAATGGCATTACTGCATGTGCTGTATCCATTCTTTTTAAAACAAACTTGGAGAACTTCATATGTTTGCACTGTATTTACATTTCTACTCCAACTCTCTTCCCTCTGACCCATGCCCCCATGCCCTTTCCACTTCCTGTTGACTTTTATACACTCTTTTACTTTGATTTTTAGATAATTTAAAAACATTTATTTATTTAAATTAGAAACAAGCTTGCTTCCCATGTCAATCCCAGTTCCCTCTCCCTCCCCTTCTTCCCCACTCCCACTAACCCCCCAATACCTCACCCAATCCTCACTCCACTATCCAGGGAGGGTGAAGCCCTCCATGGGGGATATCTAAAGTCTATCATTTCACCCAGGGCAGGGCCTAGGTCCTCCCCCATGTGTCCAGGATGAGAGAGCATCCCTCCATGTGTAATGGGCACCCAAAATCCATTTGTATGCCAGGGATAAATACTGATCTACTCCCCAAGGCCCCAGATTGCTGAGGCCTCCTCACTGACACGCCAATTTAGTGAGTCTGGGTAAATCCCATGGTGACCTCTAAGTCATCAGTCTGGGTTCCATGAGCTCCCACTTCTTCAGGGAAGCTGTCTCTGTGGGTGTCACCAGCCTGTTCTTGGCCTGGTTGCTCATCACTCCTCCCTCTCTGAAACTGGGATCAAGGAGTTCAGTTCAGTGTTTAGCTGTGGGTGTCTGCCTCTGCTTCCATCAGCCACTGGATTAAGGCTCTAGGCTGGCATATAAATTGGACATCAATCTCATTATTGGAAAAGGGCATTTAGGGTAGCTTCTCCACTATTGCTTAGCTTGCAAGTTGGTGTCATCCTTGTAGATCATTGGAAATCTCATTAGTGCCAGATATCCTCTCAAACCTAGAATTACTCCCTCTATTATGGTATCACTCATCCCACTCTCTATTCTTCCCCCTGCTCCCCTATATCCTCCTCTCTCCTCCTCTTCTCCCTCTCCTTCTCCCTCTCTGCTCCAAATCCTCTCAAGAGATCCTGTCCCATTTCCCTTTTCAGGGTACCATTCATATCTCTCTTAGGGTCTTCCCTGTTTCCCAGACTCTCTGGCAATGGGATTGTAAGTTGACACTACCCTGCTTCACATATAAAACCCATATATGAGTGAATACATACCATGTTTGTCTTTTTGTGACTGGGTTACCTCACTCAGGATGGTTTCTTCTAGTGCCATCTATTTGCCTGCAAATTTCAAGATCTCATTTTTTTTTCCTGCTGAGTAGTACTCCATTGTGTAAGTGTACCACATTTTTTCTATCCACTCTTCAGTTGAGGGGCATCTAGGTTGCTTCCAGGTTCTGGCTATTACATATAATGCTGCTATGAACATAGTTGAGCAGATGTCCTTATTGTATAAGTATACATCATTTGGGTATATGCCTAAGAGTGAAATTGCTGGGTCTTGTGGTAGACTGAATTCCATTTTCCTGAGGAATTTCCATACTGATATCCAAAGTGGCTGCACAAGTTGGTATTCCCACTAGCAGTGGAGTGTTTCCCTTTCTCCACACGCTCTCCAGCATAAATTGTCAATAGAGTTTTTGATTTTAGCCATTCTGACAGGAGTGAGATAGTATCTCAGAGGTGTTTTGATTTGCATTTCCCTGATGGCTAAGGATGTTGAGCCCTTTCTCGAGTGCCTCTCAGCCATTTTAGACTCCTCTATTTAGAATTCTCTATTTAGTTCTGTACCCCATTTTTAATTGGATCCTTAAGTGTTTTGGAGAATTGCTTCTTGAGTTCTTTGTAAATTTTGGAGATCAGCCCTGTCAGATGTAGGGCTAATGAATACTTTGCCCACTCTGGGCTGCCTTTTTGTCTTGTTGACTGTGTTCATTGCCTTACAGAAGCTTCTCAGTTTCAGGAGGTCCCATTTATTAATTGTCAATCTCAATGTCTGTGCTACTAGTGTTATGTTCAGGAAGTAGTCTTCTGTACCAATTGGTTCCTCCCACTTTCTCTTCTATGAGTTTCAGTGTGGCTGGATTTATGTTGAGGTCTTTGATCCTTTTGGACTTAAGTGTTGTGCATGGTGATAGACTTGGATCTATGTGCAGTCTTCTACATGCCAGCATCCAGTTATGCCGGCAGCATTTGCTGAAGATGCTTTTTTTCCATTGTATAATTTTAACTTCTTTGTCAAAAATCAATGTTCATAGGTGTGTGGGTCAATACCAGGTTTCAATTCCATTCCATTAGTCTACCTGTCTATTTTTGTGCCAATACCAAGCTGTCTTTAAGACTATAACTCTATAATAGAGCTTGAAGTCGTGGATGGTTGTTTTGGCTATCCTGGGTCTTTTGATTTTCCATATAAAGTTGATTATTGTTCTTCCAAGGTTTGTGAAGAATTATGTCAGTATTTTGATTGGGATCACTCATCCCACTCTCTTTCTTTCTTTAAAGACTCAAAGTTCTTGCTATACAGGTCTTTCACTTGTTTGGTTAGCATTACCTTAAGACATTTTATGTTGTTTGTGGCAGTTGTAAAGAACTCTCATTTCTTTCCCAGCCCATTTATCATCTATACAGTAGGGCTACTGATTTCTTTGAGTTAATCATGTATCCTGCCACTTTGCTGAATGTATTTATTAGCTGTAGGAGTTCCCTGGTAGAGTTTTTCAGGTCACTTATGTAAACTATCATATCATCTGCAAATAGTGAAAGTTTGACTTCTTCCTTTCCAATTTGTATCCCCTTTTGTTTTCTTATTGCTCTAGCTAGATCTCCAAGTACAATATTGAAGAGATATAGAGAGAATGGACAGCCTTGTCTTGTTCCTGATTTTAGAGGAATCATGTTGAGTTTTTCTCTATTTAGTTTGATGTTGGCTGTTGGTTTACTGTATATTGCTTTTATTATGTTAAGGTATGTTCCTGTTATTCATGATCTCTCCAGGACCTTTATCATGAAGGGATGTTGGATTCTGTCAAAGACTTTTTCATTATCTAGTGAGATGATTATGTGGTTTTTCTTTTGCAGTTTGTTTATATGATGGATTATATTGATAGATTTTTCCTATTTTGAACCATCCCTGCATCCCTGGGATGAAGCCTACTTGATCATGGTGGGTGATTTTTCTGATGTATTCTTGGATTTGATTTGCCAGTATTTAATTGAGGATTTTTGCATCAATATTCATTAGTAATATTGGTCTGAAGTTCTCTTTCTTAGTTGTGTCTTTGTGTGACTTGGGTACCAACATAATTGTGTCTTGTAAAAAGTTTGGCAATGAACCTTCTGCTTCTATTGTGTGGAACACTTTGTGGAGAATAGGTATAAGTTGTTCTTTGAATTTCTGGTAGAATTCTGCACTGAAGCTATCTGGGCCTGGGCTTTTTTTTTTGGTTGGGAGACTGCTTTTATTTCATTAGGGGTTATAGTTTTGTTTAAATTGCTTAAGTGTTCTTGATGTAAGTTTGGTAAGCAATATCTATCCAGAAAGTTGTTTATTTCCTTTAGACTTTCGAATTTTGTGGAGCACAGGTTCTCACATATGAGCTGGAGATTCTGTGGATTTCCTCATTGTCCATTGTTATGTTCCCTTTTTCATTCCTGATTTTGTTAATTTGCATGTCCTCTCTCTGCCTTTTGGCTAGTTTGGATAAAGGTTTGTCTATATTGTTGATTTCCTGAAAGAACCAACTCTTTGTTACATTGATTCTTTGCATTGTTTTTTTTTTTTTGTTGTTATTATTTTGACTTTATTGATTTCAGCCCTCAGTTTGGTTATTTCCTGATGTCTACTCCTCCGGGGTGAGTTTTCAGTTGTGTTGTTAATTCTGTATTGTGACTATTCTCCAGTTTCTTCATGTGGGCATTTAGTACTCTGAACTTTCCTCTTAGTACTGCTTTTAAAGGGTCCCATAAGTTTGGGTATGTTGTATCTTCATTTTCATTGAATTTTAGGAAGTCTTTACTTTCTTTCTTGCTCTGTAGACCAGGCTGGCCTCAAACTCACAGAGACCTGCCTGTCTCTGCCTCCCGAGTGCTGGGATTAAGGGCGTGTGCCACCAACGCCCTTAATTTCTTTCTTCTTTCTTGACCCAGGAATGGTGCAATTGCGTGTTCTTCAATTTACATGAGTTTGTAGGGTTTCTGCAATTTGTGTCATTGTTGAATTCTAACTTTGACCATGGTGATCAGATAGCATTATTTTGTATCTGTTGAGGTTTGCTCTGTTGCCTAGTATGTGGTTGATTTTAGAGAAGATTCAATGTGGTGCTGAGAAGAAGGTATATACATGTCTGTTAATCCCAATTGGGTCATAACTTCTGTTAGTTCCTTTGTTTCTTTGTTAAGTTTCTGTCTGTTGGTCCTGTCCAGTGGTGAGTGTGGAGTGTTGATGTCTGCCACTATATGTGGTGATTAATGTGTGATTTGAGTTTTAGTCATATTTCCTTTATGAATGTGGGTACCTTTGTATTTGGTGCATCAATGTTCAGAATTGAGACTGCATCTTGATGGATTTATTGTTCCTGTGATGAATATGAAATGACCTTCTTCATCTCTCTTGATTAATTTTAGTTTGAAGTCTAATTGTTAGATATTAGGATAGCTACATCTGCTTGCTTCTTAGGGCCATTTGATTGGAAAATATTTTCCTAACCCTTGAATCGGAGGTAATGTCTGTCTTTGAAGGATTTGGTCTGCTTTTTGTATGCAACAGAAGGATGGATTCTGTCTTTGTATCCATTCTGCTAGCCTGTGTGTTTTTATTGGTGGGTTAAGACCATTGATATTGATGAATATTTTTGACCATTGATTGCTGATTCTTGATTTTT